ACAGAACACAGAGAGTAGTCATCAACAGAGTAAAGTCTGAGGCAGCTACGGTGAAAAGCTCTGTTCCACAAGGCACAGTACTCGCTCCCATCTTGTTCCTCATCCTCATATCCGACATAGACAAGGATGTCAGCCACAGCACCGTGTCTTCCTTTGCAGATGACACCCGAATCTGCATGACAGTGTCTTCCATTGCAGACACTGCAAGGCTCCAGGCGGACATCAACCAAATCTTTCAGTGGGCTGCAGAAAACAATATGAAGTTCAACGATGAGAAATTTCAATTACTCAGATATGGTAAACACGAGGAAATTAAATCTTCATCAGAGTACAAAACAAATTCTGGCCACAAAATAGAGCGAAACACCAATGTCAAAGACCTGGGAGTGATCATGTTGGAGGATCTCACCTTCAAGGACCATAACATTGTATCAATCGCATCTGCTAGAAAAATGACAGGATGGATAATGAGAACCCTCAAAACTAGGGAGGCCAAGCCCATGATGACACTCTTCAGGTTACTTGTTCTATCTAGGCTGGAATATTGCTGCACACAAACAGCACCTTTCAAGGCAGGTGAAATTGCTGACCTAGAAAATGTACAGAGAACCTTCACGGCATGCATAACGGAGATAAAACACCTCAATTACTGGGAGCGCTTGAGGTTCCTAAACCTGTATTCCCTGGAATGCAGGCAGGAGAGATACATAATTATATACACCTGGAAAATCCTAGAGGGACTAGTACCGAACTTGCACACGAAAATCACTCACTACGAAAGCAAAAGACTTGGCAGACGATGCAGCATCCCCCCAATGAAAAGCAAGGGTGTCACTAGCACGTTAAGAGACCATACAATAAGTGTCAGGGGCCCGAGACTGTTCAACTGCCTCCCAGCATACATAAGGGGGATTACCAACAGATCCCTGGCAGTCTTCAAGCTGGCACTGGACAAGCACCTAAAGTCGGTTCCTGACCAGCCGGGCTGTGGCTCGTACGTTGGTTTGCGTGCAACTAGCAGTAACAGCCTGGTTGATCAGGCTCTGATCCACCAGGAGGCCTGGTCACAGACCGGGCTGTGGGGGCGTTGACCCCCGAACTCTCTCCAGGTAAACTCCAGGTAATGGTGTGGGTGTTCACTCTAATTTGTTCCTTGTCTTACTGAATATTTTTTAACTGGAAACAAATTAACCTGAAAAAAGATGACATTTGCTAAAAGATGTGGTCACAATAATAAAATCACTAAAAATGATTGCTAAGGTTTAGCTTTATTCTCATTAAAACTCATTTCTAGCTATAAGTTACTTGAATTTCAGGTTAATACTTTTTATATAAGTAGGCTTGCTTTTTTTTATCACTAGGTTGCAATGCACCACTTTTGGTACATGTGCCATAGGTTGGCCATTCCTGCTCTAGTACATAGTCTGGCAAGCTGCTGTCATTCATACTACATCATATCTCATAAGCTTATTTAGTCTCATTTTCTTAAGTAAGTATTACCTATTATAGAATCTCTTTCTTTGCATAATTCAAGGAAGAATAATGTGTCAAGAATATAAAGTGCTATATGATATTACTCTACTTAAAAAAAAGAAAAGCAGTTGTACATTGAGGAACAAAAAATCTTTTAGTTAACATAGTCATAAGCCAATTGTTATCTGATATTGTAATAATATTTCCTCTAAAATGAGTTGGCTTTGTGTCAGATATTATATTTAGGGAAGGGGGAAACACTAAACCTATATGGGTCATATAGTGCCTGGAGAAATGAGAGGTAAATAGGCTCGTTCTAAGGAAGGGGAAAACAGGTACAATTCCTTGGATCAAGAGCTCCTCACCATCATCAAGGACTTTGCCCTAAACAAGGCTGTGTCCAGCTTCTTAAAACCAACACAAGGTGTTGCCTGGTGAGTAATGGTATCTAGCTGGCCAGTGTCCATCAAACGTTTTTCTAATCAAATTAATGCAGCCTTTACAAATTTCATAAACATTTGTAATTGGAAAAAGAAAGGTTCATATTTTTTTTCATAGATCTCTCTTTAGCTCACAAAATTGTTGAAAAAATTATTCATTTTCAGAGAAAAATTAATCATGCAAGACAAACATTTTCTAATCAAATGGTGCAGCTGTATTCATCAGACAGGGCCTTATGATCATATCAAGAAGCACATGATTACAGCACCAAGAACCTATTAAAATTGACTGTTGATGCTTTGTCATTACTGTACTGTTCCTGTTCATAGTAGCCTTCCTTCAAGAAAGAAAGATTGACATTGGTGAACAACTTGGTAAATATGCTTTGAGAATTTTTTTTTATTATTACCAGTTCTAATATTAGACAAGTGTACATGGCAAACTCCTAGTTCAGCTTATGTTGCCTTCTTCATATTCCATGCTGTAATTTCCTGCTAATCCTGTGTGAGAGATTGAGAAAAGTGTTTCATTCCTGCTTCTTTGATATCCTACCACTTTCTCACTGTTGTATGTCTAGGACTTACAGATAATTCTCAGATAATTATTGCAGTCTGTATTAGCTGTGGGCTTGCAAGTAGTGCTTTAAGAATTATTCAGTAATTTAGATACATAATAAATACCTTTCTTTCCAGCTTATTTTTCTTTTTTCACCATATTTAGAAATATACTGAAGATTTATTATTTACAGTATTGTAGGTTTAGTAGCATCTGCTTCTGTATTGCAAGCAGAGTAGTGTGTTTAGCAAGAGGTGTCTTATGACTTTAGATATAAATAATGAAGAGTATGTATATATGGGAAGGTATATAAACAAAAGAGTCTGTTAGTGATCTTCAGTGAATTGTATGAAAGAATAGCTAGAGACAAAGTAGTGGAAGAACAGATAATGTAGCATGCTGAGTAGACAAATCAATTATTGTGCATCAAATAATATTTGAAGTTATACAAGTAAGGAAGCCAAAGATTGCAAAAACCAGCTTATTTGTATTACAAATATACTAGACAGACAAATACATTGTTGTAAGAGGCAACTAAAATGCTGGGAGCAAGAGAGGTAGTAATCCCCTCTGTATGACTCACGAAATCATAATGATACAATTGCAAACAAACTATACCACGGGCGGGGATAGAACCCGCGATCAGAGAGTTTCAAAACTCCAGACCGTTGCGTTAGCCACTGAACCAGCTAGCCACAATAAGATTCGTCCAACTAGGTATATTTCTACACCATAGGAAGGTTAGCATGGCACACTATACACAAATAACCCGCACATAAAAGAGAGAAGCTTACAACGACGTTTCGGTCCGACTTGGACCATTGACAAAGTCACACTAACCAGAGGTGGAGCAGGACGGCTATACAGTGGACCCCCGGTTAACGATATTTTTTCACTCCAGAAGTATGTTCAGGTGCCAGTACTGACCGAATTTGTTCCCATAAGCATTGTGAAGTAGATTAGTCCATTTCAGACCCCCAAACATACACGTACAAACGCACTTACATAAATACACTTACATAATTGGTCACATTCGGAGGTGATCGTTATGCGGGGGTCCACTGTATATAGGCAGGAAGAGGTAGTGGTAGTAGTAGTAGTAGTAGTACAAGAATTGTATATAATACCGACAAGATGAAATTAGGCACCACTGTGACCACAAATGCAAGTTTTTTACAGACAAATCTCCAGCTAGCGTGGCCGTGACGAAATCTAGCTCAAGTCCCCTCCAAGTCGTTAACATGACTCATGAAATCGTAATGACACGATTGCAAACAAACCATACCATGGGCGGGGATGGAACCCGCAATCAGAGAGTCTCAAAACTCCAGACCGTCGCGTTAGCCACTGGACCAGCTAGCCACAATAAGATTCGTCCAACTAGGTATATTTCTACACCATAGGAAGGTTAGCATAGGCACCACTGTGACCAGAAACTTGCATTTGTGGTCACAATGGTGCCTATGCTAACCTTCATATGGTGTAGAAATGTACCTAGTTGGACGAATCTTATTGTGACTAGCTGGTCCAGTGGCTAAAGCGACGGTCTGGAGTTTTGAGACTCTTTGATCACGGGTTCCATCCCCGCCCGTGGTATGGTTTCACCTCTGTATAAATTACTAAATGTAAAAAGAAGAAAACTTACCGTTTCTGGGTCACCCTGCCTTGGTGGGAGACGGCCATTGTATTAAAAAAGAAATGTATAATTCTTATTAAGGAAATGAATGGTTGATAGCATGAAAAAATAGATCAGAAGTAAATTAGTGAATAAATGTGTAATTTTTGTGAAAACTGTATGTATGGAAATTTATGAATGTGCTGACCATAGTATTAATATAAGAGTGAACCGACCTGCTGCAAACTAGACCAAATATTTAGCTATTTTTCTAATTTATATATTATTGAAATTAATCCTATGCTTCTGATGACTAAACCCTCATTCCTCTGCTGCCAGCAGAAAGTCACTTTTATAAAAATGACTTGGTTACTCCTGAATCAGACAAGACTTCTCATCATGACAACTTTTAAACTTATTATATTCATCAGCTTAAATGACTAAGAAAAGTACAGTATGATTTATACTTGAGATTAAGCATACTATTTATTATAAATATGTTTAAGTAGTTGTTTCATGAGAAATTATTATATGCAGTGACTAAAATTATATTCTGTTTGTTGAAAATAAATTCTCAGTGTGTAATTTATGGCATTATATGAAGTTTCTTTTGTGTCCTAATAAACATCATGATCACAAAAGCTAAAAAACTGGTCCAAAGCTGATCATCGGCCATGGCAGAAATAATCTTAACTTAATCCGGATTAAAATAGATACCAGTTTTTCTAGGAAGGTAAACCACAGCCCTGTGATGCATCTGCCTCTTGTCTGGATCATACAAATTCATTCACAGGTGCTGCTGCAGGTCTTTTAAACGGAGGTCTGTGATGCATCTGTGCACCTTAAAAGTGTGCGTGGCTGATTTGATTTGTGTGCACTTTCAATTGATATACGATATCTGCTACCCCACTTTCAGACCTATGTAGTACAGAGCATCTAGACAGGATGGAAAGTGGACGCCGCAAAGCTCATGCAAGTGGAGGAAAAGGTTGGTGAACTCTTTATTTTAATCTAAGCATCCCTGTTATGGGACACTTAAATTAAAATCTTATTTGTGTTTGTTAAAATAAATACAAGATCTTAACTTGTCTGTTTATCTGTACTGTATCAATTTTTGTTTTCTTTTATCTGTCATTAGTTTCCAGACAATATTGGCTTTGTGCCGATGATATACGTATTACTCGAGGAGGAGTACAGAGCATATTGCACAGAGAATATGTTTTCATAGTCATTGGGATGTGTGTTCTTTATGTCTGTTCCCAGAGTTAATCTTATTCTATATCTCTTTCATATAAATATGTTTAGATGTCATTTTCTCACCTATTTTGTAAATTTTTCTCTCTGGCTGGTGTGTGACATCACTTGTAGCTCTTGAGAAAAATTGTTATAAGTAGTATTGTGTTAGTGTCAGTGTCTGTGATATGATAGTACCAGGGATGTGGCAGTAAAAGGAAAGTGGTAGCACCAGTGATGTGGTAGGATCAGTGACATGGTAGTATCAGTGACATGGTGGTACAGTGGTACCTCGAATCTCAGCCAAAATTCATTCCAGAAGGCTGTTCAAGTGCCGTTACCAAATGAATTTGTTCCCATAAGGAATAATGTAAATTAGATTAGTCCTTTTTAGACCCCCAAAAATACACTTACAAGAGCACTTACAAAAATACACTTACATAATTGTTCGAGTTGGGAGCTGTTCGAAATTCGAGGTTCCACTGTACGTATATGGTAGTACCAATGGGTACAGTAATGTAGTCTTCAGCAGGTAAGTTTTTAGTCTTATTATGAACATAACACAGACCTTCACCAGTTTTTACACTGCAGTAAGTGAACTGATGAATAGCTAATCAGAAAAGTTGCTTCAGATTTTGGAACTTAGATTTTTATCATATTCTGTTTTTTTTTTTTCCACATCTGTATTTGCTGATGTGCCATTGCCTGGTATTGTTCACTACCTCGTAACGTTTCATTTTTTCTTGATTACTAACTTTTGCCACTAATATACAGGAGCTTTTTTTTTATATACATATTTAGCCCAGTTTATTCTTTGAGACATAGGCAAAGCTTTTTTTTGCAGACAGTTGAAGAGAGAAACTTTATTGAGATTTTTGTCTGTGGACCAAGTGTCTTTAGTTAGGCATTAATGAAGAGGCTTGAACCACAGGCAAAACATCTCACTAAAGCTCTGTTCTGCAATTGTGTCTATTTCACCACTTGTTAGCATTTTGCCATTTATCTTCATGTTTTAGAGTACTGTACAAAAGAGTATTTTTAACTCCTGTAGTGTGACCATTTTTAAGCTTCTTTGGTTGACTTATAATGTTAATTCATCTTGAAGATCTGTATTGTTATAAAGTCAGTAAAGTAAGGTAGTTCTCCCTTATTTGGGAGTAATGACACTAGCAGGTGGAAGTGAGGAGTGCGGCGTGAGTGTCGGAGAAAGTGTAGTGTGGCTCAGTGAAGATCATCCAGAGTTGGGGGTTGTGCGATGGGCTGGCAAGTTACCAGGAATGAACGATTCTGGTACATGGATGGTTGGCGTGGAATTTGTGAGTTAACATTGAAGTTACAGTGAATTAACTAATACTGTCTAGACTTGCAATGCTCCTATTTTATGAAATCAATAAAGCCTCTGTGGTAAATATTTTGACAAATACTCTCAGTAGTTTACCAGAGTTACATCCTTGTTGTTCAGATATTAATCTTCTTGAAGTATGCTGACTATATTAATGTTTTAAGCAACATTCATCAAAGGCATTACATTTCACTGAATTATATATCCCCAAAACACTCCTTAATTCTTTTAAGTTTTAAGTAAATAAATAAATATTGTTTAGAAGATATTGAAATTACAACTTTTGTATATGAAAAGTGACACTAGTTTCATTTGCATCACCCTTTTGTTTCTTGACTGTTTGAGATTTGTTCCCTTCTATAGGATAATCCTGTGGGTAATGACAACCATAGAGTGAATGGCAAGTTGCTGTTTGATGCTAAAGTCAATCATTCTTCTCTAATGCCTGTTACAAGTCTCATGAAGACTGAAGATTTTCTTGGAAAAGAATCCCTAAATGCAGATCAGACTGGACGCAACCCAAGTGGGAAGAGACCTGCACATTTGATTTCAAAGGTAAGTACAGTGGACCCCCGCATAACGATTACCTCCGAATGCGACCAATTATGTAAGTGTATTTATGTAAGTGCGTTTGTACGTGTATGTTTGGGGGTCTGAAATGGACTAATCTACTTCACAATATTTCTTATGGGAACAAATTCGGTCAGTACTGGCACCTGAACATACTTCTGGAGTGAAAAAAAATCGTTAACCGGGGGTCCACTGTAAATAGTGATATACAGTAGGAGTAAAAACCTTCATCTTTTATGTGCAGTATGTGTGTGTATGTGTTGAAACAAAATGGAGCTTGTGGAATCTCCTTGCCTTAAGGCAACAACATTGCAGTTATTTTGAGTGCAATATTTTAAAGTGATAATCATCTTTTATCAACTGCACCAAAATTGCATCCGGATAATAAAACTGATCAGATTTTGTAATGGTGACTTTATAATTTCAAGATGATGTTGCCATGGCAGTAAGACAAAGAATGTTATATTTGGGTTGAATAAATTGAGGGAGACATAGTACTGCAGAGAGGAAGAGGAGAGGAAGAACAAGGTAGAAGAGGAAAAGAAAAAGGAGGTAGAAATACAGAAAGATGAGGTGAGGGAGGAGGGAGGGAAGGAGGGAGTGAGCTAAATTCATTATCATTTGTCAACATTGTACATATATGTCTGTACACTTGTTTTATAATACAAATATAAATAACCATAGGTAGTAGGTTGGTAGACAGCAACCGCCCAGGGAGGTACTACCGTCCTGCCAAGTGAGTGTAAAACGAAAGCCTGTAATTGTTTTACATGATGCTAGGATTGCTGGTGTCCTTTTTTCTGTCTCATGAACATGTAAGATTTCAGGTATGTCTTGCTACTTCTACTTACACTTAGGTCACACTACACGTACATGTACAAGCACACCCCTTTGGGTTTTCTTCTATTTTCTTTCTAGTTCTTGTTTATTTCCTCTTATCTCCATGGGGAAGTGGAACAGAATTCTCCCTCCGTAAGCCATGCGTGTTGTAAGAGGCGACTAAAATGCCGGGAGCAAGGGACTAGTAACCCCTTCTCCTGTATAAATTACTAAATTTAAAAGACAAACTTTCGTTTTTCTTTTTGGGCCACCCTGCCTTGGTGGGATACGGCCAGTTTGTTGAAAAAAAAAAAGAATAAAAAACCATTACTCTTATGCACTGTACTTTGAGACTGTCCTTTTGTATTATGTTAAGCCAAATAAATAAACAACTATAATGAACTATAAATTGCCAGGAACACTGTAATTTAAACAGTAGTGATAGGGATAAATAAGATACAGCATTGCTAATTACCAGCTCTGACCCTCCTTCCTAGCCCTCGCATAACCTGCCCATGTTTATTATTGGTGCAAGTATTGACTTTTATGGGAACCCACTAGTGACATTACATCCTTTGAGGATCTTTCTTCTTTTCTCATCACTTCATATTTTCTATTAAATAAAAAATATAATCTAGTATTTTACCTGTACCTTATACATTTGTTTACTTTTACAGAATGGCAGTCAGCTTGGTAGTGACATGTCAAGCATGACTCCTTTCCACCTGCTAGCTTATGAGCACTTGTCAGCACCTGGTCAGCGGGGTGGAGGCCCTCCACCATCATACTCTGAGGAGTGGGAGCTTCCTCCTCATATGACTTACAGCACTGCAAAAAATATGATATCATGTAATAAGGTGATTATGATGGATACATTCAGCATCATGACTCAGATTTGTAATACTACTTTAAATGATCATTTAAGATTTTTTTTTTTTAACAAGTCGGCCGTCTCCCACCGAGGCAGGGTAGCCCAAAAAGAAAGAAAAAATCTTCAAAAAGAAAATACTTTCATCATCATTCAAGACTTTCACCTCACTCACACATAATCACTGTTTTTGCAGAGGTGCTAAGAATACAACAGCTTAGAAGCATATACAGGTCTCCCTCAACATTCACGTTTTCAACTTTCACGGGCTTCACACATTCGCGAATTCCCAACCGCCAAATTCCCAGCCGCCAAATCATATTTAAGTTTCCCGCTACCTGCGAGTCCCTACTACCCTCCCTCCGACCCCCGCAACTGGCAGCCAGCCCTCCCACCACTCAGTGTGGTGAGTGTTTTGTTTGTTCATTATTTGCTATTAAACTACAGTATAAATAATGTAAACCTATTCATGACTGCATATTGGAATGGCTATTAGGAAAGGTATTAGATGGTGACATCATGTGTTTACTCTTGAACACTGCAAAGAATTAAACATTTCTGCTACAGCTAATAATAACAATAGTAATAGTAATAATAATAATAATAATAATAATAATAATAATAATAAATATGATATAATTGAAGAAGGAAATTGTACAAAAATGCAGGGAGTGGTTGACACATCGTCATGTGACTTTGTTTATGCTGGAGTGAACATTAGTCTCCCTGCTCTTCCAAACATTTCACAATAATTCATTGTGTTTGGTGCTTGTAGATTGAGTTTTACTGAGTGGTAGAGGCAGTGATTGAGGCAATGGTATTTAATAACATACATGTTAATAATAATACATGTTATTAATAATATGTACTATTATTATTTATAACATATGTGTTATTCAATATATACATGTTAATAATAATACATGTTATTAATAATAACATGTACTATTATTATTTATAACATATATGTTATTAAATACCACTGCCTCAACCGCTGAATTATTGTGAAATGTTTGGAAGAGCAGGGAGACTAATGTTCACTCCAGCATAAACAAAGTCACACTGACGATGTGTCAACCACTCCCTCGTATTTTTGTACAATTTCCTTCTTCAATTATATCGTATTTATTATTATTATTATTATTATTATTATTATTATTATTATTATTATTATTATTATTATTACTATTGTTATTATTAGCAATAGCAGAAATGTTCGATTCTTTGCTGTGTTCAAGAGTAAACACATGATGTCACCGTCTAATGCCTTTCCTAATAGCCATTCCAATATGCAGTCATGAATGGGTTTACATTATTTATTCTGTAGTTTAATAGCAAATAATGAACAAACAAAACACTCACCACACTGAGTGATGGGAGGGCTGGCTGCCAGTTGCGGGGGTCGGAGGGAGGGTAGTAAGGACTCGCAGTGGTTGAGGAAGTGGTGGAGTCTGTGTTATTTAATAACATACATGTTATTAAAGCATAACATGTATATATTTAGTACAATTTACGACGTTTTCATGTATTTTATGATTATTCATGGTTCAACAAGTTAAGGAAGCAGTATTGTAATATATTTCCCTACAATATATTGGGGCACCAAACATTCACGGTTTTTCAACATTCGCGAGGCTCTTGATCCCCTAACCCTCGCGAATGTTGAGGGAGACCTGTACGTATAAAGATACACAACATATCCCTCCAAACTCCCAATATCCCAAACCCCTCCTTTAACCCTTTCAAGGTCTGTGCCGTAGATCTACGGCTTTACATTGAGGGTCCAAACCGTAGATGTATACCACGAGCTCAGCTCACTCTGATAAGCTGTGAGTGGTAAATTTTGGCCTAGATATGAAAGAATACATCTATGTGGTATATGTGCACCACATAAAACAAATCCTTCAGCACACAGTGTATAATGAGAGAAAAAACTGAGACCGGGATTTTCGATTAAAACAGCAACTTTGCAGTGTTTTTTCATATGTTTTTTATAGTTGTATTTGCGATTTCTTGGTCTCATTTGATAGAATTGGAGATATATTACAGAAATAGAGACGATTTTGATTGGTTTTAGTACTGGAAATGGCTTGAAACTGAGCTCAAAGTAGCAGAAAGGTTAAATTTTTGCCAATGTTCAAGACTAAACAAACGACCTCACACGTCTAATACATGCCAGCTGGTGGGTCCAGTATACATTCACAAATGTGATGATATTTATACAATTATTACAATATTGCATAACAGTAAATCTTTTATTTTTTGGTTTGAATAAAACTTCACTATGTGAATAAAAATTCAAAATGGAATTAATTTTTAAAGCCTGAAAACATAGCTAATGAACAGAAGAAATGTTAGTTTAGTTCCAGGAATGCCTGCATTGTTTATTCTGGACCTTATTTTGAAATTGGAATATTTTGAACTTTGTGTTAAATTGGCCAAATTACCAATTTCCGATCACTTTATTTTGTAGTTGAAACAGTTGACTGGACGATTTCTCGTGCTCAATCGATAGAATAGAAGTAATACTAGTGAAATAGCTAAGAATTTGGTCGACTGGAATAATGTAATTGGCCTAAAATGGGAGTCAAAGTCGGCAAAATCGCTGATTCGTAAATATCGCTGACAAATCAAAATTCGCGAGAGCATAATTTTGTCAGTTTTCCATCAAATATCGTACTTTTTGTTTTATTACCTTCAGAAAAAAATTCTCTACCATTTCATAAGAAAAAATAAAAAATTTTTTTTTTTTAAATTCTTGGACCCTGGTGCACACTGAAATTTAGCCTCTGGACGCTGAAAGGGTTAAAGTGCAGGCATTGTACTTCCCTTTTCCAGGACTCAAGTCCGGCTATGTAAAAGTAACCGAGATACAAAATGCAAATGAATGTATTATATCGGAATATTAATTATACTTTTCTGTTGTATCTGGGTGCCTCTGCAAAAACAGTGATTATGTATGAGTGAGGTGAAAGTATTGAATGATGATGAAAGTATTTTCTTTTTGGGATATTCTTTCTTTTTGGGTCACCCTGCCTTGGTGGGAGACGGCCGACTTGTTGAAAAAAAAAATTAATTAGACCAAAGAGCTTAAGGAAAAATGCATAATTAAAATGAGAAAGAAAACAAGAAATAGATAAAGTGTAGAGGAAAAGTAAGATGGGGAAAATGGAATAAAATGAAGATGATAGCTGATGGTGATATTAAGCATGCATGTGGAATTATATATAAGGGCTGCTCTATGTCAGTGTTTAGGTCAAGATTATATTAAATGTTTTCAATCATTTGTGCTTTTAATTGACAGCTGCACTCTTTATTACAGGAGACTCTCCACGATCATAAATCTCGGCAGAGGGACAAGAGTAAAATTTTAAATCGAAATATAGATAAAAAGAACAACAAATGGAAATCTTCTGGAATCAGTGGACGACCCACGCAAATAAGCAGTGATCTTGAACACAACTCTATTGTGGGGCTCGGAGAATCTGAGTTGCCGGTGAACCCATTGTATCATTTAACTCTTCGGGGTAAATTTGAATGAGCAGTTATTTATATAGTTATGTAATGATTATATCTTATTATGTTACTTTTGTAAATGTATTGACTTTGTATATAGTTTCTACAAACACAGTTTATAGCTTGAAAGATGTGATTCCTCGGGAAAATATCGATTCCTTGGGGAAAGTAATTTCCCAGGGAAAATATTTTTCAGGAGAAGTATGATTTCTACGGTTTGAAGACATTCTCAGCTATTTGTTATATAATACTACTAAACATTTAAACTGTATTTTAGGGATTGACCAGTTGGAAGTTGTGTCTGATGGAGATGGCAGTGTGTACGAGACTCCCGAGGGTAGTGTTGAGGGCACTGAAGAGGACCTAGACATTGGCTCACTGGTGGAGGTGGTTATCAAGGAAGTTCCTAGGTAAGTATAAGCCACAGAGTAGACAATCACAAATAGTTTATGAAAAGTCACTTTATTACAGGTCCTGTAACTTATATCTGACTAGCCTGATATTGACTATTGATTAGCTGAAGACTAAATGTGTAGATCGTTCAGTTTACTTGACAAATCTTGTTATTTAATTCATTTATATCATCTGGAAGGTTAGTGAGTGTGGAATGTTTGTCGATTTAAATTTAAACAGTTTCTTCAGTAGGTATAGTAGCATCCACAGTAAATCATAACCTCGAAGAAAACTTTGACCATGTTGTAGCCTGTGTAACATCCTCTTTTGTTACTTCATTTAGCAGTCGATCAGGGCACAACATACTTGTATAATAAAGGCCTACTAATCAAATAAAATATTTATAGAATACATTATTCCATTTTCTCCATGGGGAAGTGGAACAGAATTCTTCCTCCGTAAGCCATGCGTGTTGTAAGAGGCAACTAAAATGCCAGGGGCAAGGGGCTAGTAACCCCTTCTCCTGTATACGTATATTACTAAATATAAAAGGAGAAACTTTCGTTTTTCCTTTTGGGCCACCCTGCCTCGGTGGGATACGGCCGGTGTGTTGAAAGAAAGAATTATTCCATTTGGCAGAGCTAATTTACTGGTTTCATAGATGCATCTAGAAACCATAAACATTAAGTACCTTTTGTTGTGTAATACTGGATAAGTTTCTCACCAAGAAGCTACATAACATCAGAGAATATCTAGTCTTGTATGGAAGTCTCAACTTGGAGTTTCATACAGTGGACCCCCGGTTAACGATATTTTTTCACTCCAGAAGTATGTTCAGGTGCCAGTACTGACCGAATTTGTTCCCATAAGGAATATTGTGAAGTAGATTAGTCCATTTCAGACCCCCAAACATACACGTACAAACGCACTTACATAAATACACTTACATAATTGGTCGCATTCGGAGGTAATCGTTATGCGGGGGTCCACTGTAATTAATTGCTGGAAGAAGTTTCTACAATGGTAAAATGCTTTGTTTAACAGTATTCACTGCATTGAATACTGTTGTCATTAGAAGTACACCTACCATCCAACTTACGACTTGCTCGACATACGACCACTCGACTCGGTTTTGTATGCCAAATTTCTGGGAAATAAACAGCTGTTTGTGTTGTACACAGTGTTTATCCTAACCTTACAGTATAAAATACAGTACTAACAACATAAAAAGTAAAGTAAAAAATGAAATGCTGAAATAAAACAATAAAATAAAATCATTACAAAAATGTGATGTTGATATTCAGTAGTAAGGTTTGACTTGCGTCCATTTCGACTTACGACCGGTTGGTTGGAACCAAGCTCGGTCATAAGTCGGATGGTACCTGTAATGGTATATTTGAGATAGTCAGATGAACACGTACTGCTTTCTCAATAATTACAAGTGCTATTAAATGCAAATGTCAAACACTGCACTCTGAAGGAAGGGTGGAGATATGTTGTAGTTTTTGAGCTGTAGTATCAGCACACTTCTGGCAAGACAGTGATGAAGTGAGTGATGATGAAACTGTTTCTTCATTTTTGGGTCACTCGACCTCAGTGGGGAATGGCCGATGTGTTAAAAAATTGAAATTAGCTAAACAGAGATACAGCAACAGTGAACTCCATACAGATGTTCAAAAGTAGATACTGTATGAGAGGATGTCGTTCAGTTGAAAGTTAAGAGGTAAAACCAAGCGTCTTCCATCGTGTGTGGTCAGTCTCATGGTTTGAAATTGCTAATTGAAGACATTTCAGAAAGCTGATTCTCTGGCATTCTTAGTTGCTATTGTTTGACTCGACTCACGAAATCGTAATGACACAATTGCTGGCTAGCTGGTCCAGTGGCTAACGCGACGGTCTGGAGTTTTGAGACTCTCTGACCGCGGGTTCAATCCCGCCCGTGGTATGGTTTGCTATTGTTTGTATAGGAAAGTTTATGTACATTATTGATCAGATTCTACTGGGAGACCATTCAAAACAAGAACTGTAGAACCTTTTTTTTTTTTTCCAACATAGTGTTAAAAATATCAGTTTAGCATTGCACATTTTCATGCCATAAGCTGTATGCCACCAAAGTGTCAACCTTGCTAACATCAGTCATAAAAAATTATAGTGTTTGTAGTTGAAAAAGTACCATCTACAACTTTATTGAAGTTGTCAGTTTTTGTAAAATTTCAACCAGTACTAAAATATTTTATATTTAGATTTTTTAATGCTGTCTAACTGTAAATGTGATACTAGAAACTGTTCTTTATATTGTGATACACATTTTTTTTTTTTTTTTTAACAAGTCGGCCGTCTCCCACCGAGGCAGGGTAACCCAAAAAGAAAGAAAATCCCCAAAAAGAAAATACTTTCATCATCATTCAAGACTTTCACCTCACTCATACATAATCACTGTTTTTGCAGAGGTGCTCAGAACACAACAGTTTAGAAGCATATATGTATAAAGATACACACATATTCCTCCAAACTGCTAATACCACCCAGGGGGAATACTATTGTCCTGCCAAGTGAGTGTAAAACGAAAGCCTGTAATTGTTTTACATGATGGTAGGATTGCTGGTGTCTTTTGTCTGTCTCATAAATATGCAAGATTACAGGTACGTCTTGCTACTTCTACTTACACTTAGGTCACACTACACATACATGTACACGTTTATTTATACACACTCATCTGAGTTTTCTTTGATTTTATCTTAATAGTTCTTGGTCTTATTACTTTTCCTTTTATACCCACGGGGAAGTGGAATAAGAATCTTTCCTCCGTAAGCCATGCGTGTTGTAAAAGTCAACTAAAATGCCGGGAACAATGGGCTAGTAACCCCTTTTCCTGTAATAATTACTAAAAAGAATAAGAAGGGTGTTTCTATCTCTTATATAATTTTGATCTGATGCACTCAGAAAAGGGGCCATAAATGTTTAGAGAGACATTGTTAATGTTATATTTATGCATATCTATGTATACACAGTAACACAGATACATTTTTATACTATGTGTTTTATACTTTGTGTTTTTTTTTTTTTAGATTTGGGGTCATCAGATGGATTGGCACTGTTCCTGGAGACAAGAAAGAAGGAAGGAAAGTTGCCGGTGTGGAGATGGTGAGTTTGTCAGAGTTCAGAGTTCTCAGTCATTGCTTTGGGAAGTTTAATCCTCCTTTGTGTATACAGATGATTGCCAAATATTGTTAGGTGTTTCTACAAGGATAATAGTTATGTATATGAATGTTATTAAGAGAAAAGTGTTTGATTCAAATATGAAAATGCACTAAACTCTAGAATAATGTTAAAAATTAATGAAATTCCCTGTAAAGAATCTGGATGGTAAAGATTTTGAATCGGTGTTCAGTCCTACTATTTAGAACCTTGTTTTAGCAAGATTAGAAACTAGAAATAAAATATTGCTGTTAACAAAGCTGTGTTTAAGATGCCTCATAACTCTTGGTGAAGAGGTACAAATTAAATATAAAAAGCCTTGATGCTGGTGAATAGCTCTTGATTTAAGAAACTGGAGCTGTCTTTTTTCTTGGATTAAACTTAAATACCTCCCATTCCTGGAGTTTACCTGGAGAGAGTTCCGGGGATCAACGCCCCCGTGGCCTGGTCTGTGACCAGGCCTCATGGTGGAACAGGGCCTGATCAACCAGGCTGTTACTGCTGGCTGCACGCAATCCAACATACGAGCCACAGCCCGGCTGGTCAGGTACCGACTTTAGGTGCCTGTCCAGTGCCTGCTTGAAGACAGCCAGGGGTCTATTGGTGGTAATCCCCCTTATGTATGCTGGGGGAGGCAGTTGAACAGTCTTGGGCCCCTGACACTTATTGTGTTGTCTCTTAGCGTGCTAGTGGCACCCCTGCTTTTCATTGGGGGGATGTTGCATCGTCTGCCGAGTCTTTTGCTTTCGAAGAGAGTGATTTTTGTGTGCAAGTTTGGTACTAGTCCCTCTAGGATTTTCCAGGTGTATATAATCATGTATCTCTCCCACCTGCATTCCAAGGAGTACAGGTTCAGGAACTTTAAGCGCTCCCAGTAATTGAGGTGTTTAATCTCCGTTATGCATGCCGTGAAGGTTCTCTGTATCATTTCTAGGTCAGCAATTTCACCTGCCTTGAAAGGTGCTGTTAGTGTGCAGCAGTATTCCAGCCTAGATAGAAAAGCGACCTGAAGGGGTGTCATATGGGCTTGGCATCCCTAGTTTTGAAGGTTCTCATTATCCACCCTGTCATTTTTCTAGCAGATGCGATTATCAATGTTATGGTCCTTGAAGGTGAGATCCCCGACATGATCACTCCCAGGTCTTTGACGTTAGTTTTCGCTCTATTGTGTGGCTGGAATTTGTTTTATACTCTGATGAAGTTTTAAAATTTTTTCATGTTTACCACATCGAGTAATTAAAATTTCTCATCGTTACTTCATATTGTTTTCTGCAGCCCATTGAAAGATTTGGTTGATGTTTGCCTGGAGCCTTGTAGTGTCTGCATTGGGAGACACTGTCATGCAGATTCGGGTGTCATCTGCAAAGGAAGATACGGTGCTGCGGCTTACATCCTTGTCTATGTCGGATATGAGGATGAGGAACAAGATGGGAGCGAGTACTGTTCCTTGTGGAACAGAGCTTTTCACCGTACCGCCTCAGACTTGACTCTGTTTACTACTACTCTCTGTGTTCTGTTAGTGAGGAAATTATAGACCATTGACCGACTTTTCCTGTTATTCCTTTAGCACGCATTTTGTGCGCTATTACGGCATGGTCACACTTGTTGAAGGCTTTTGCAAAGTCTGTGTATATTACATCTGCATTCTTTTTGTCTTCTAGTGCATCTAGGACATTGTTGTAGTCATATTCCCCAGGAATATGATCCCAACTGGTTTAGCTTTTTCTGTGTACAGTATATAATGATAATTGAATTGCTGAAGCGGTAAAGCAGCTAAGTAAAGAAGTACGGAAATAACTTGAAAATGATATTTAGTTGGAAATTTATGTGAGGTGATTTAGGCCCAAATTTATAATTGCTAATAACTGATAAAGTAATTTTTTATTGATTTACCAAATGAAGAAAAGAAGTTTACCAGGTATGGCTAAGCCATGACTTGTGAGCTGCATGCAACTCATTTCCTCATCCATTGCAGTTCATTAAGACAGTATCCAGGAAAAGAAGTAAACATGGATATTATCTCATAAGCCTCATTAATGAGCAAAAAAGTTACTTTGAGCCATGGACTGGCCCCCACCTGCTATATATTAATTAAACTGAATTAGTAACATCAGTGCTAAGAGAAGCATCTTACTTCAAGAAAAAACTTTTTACTTTTTATACAAATACAGTGTAGGAATGTATCATTTGGGGAATTATTTCACTGCATTTGGCATTTTTTAAAAGTAAATAAAATTACAGGAAGATGCGGAAGATGGTCTATCAGATGGAACCTTCAGTGGCAAGAGGTATTTTACATGTCCAACTGGGAAAGCATTGTTTGTCCCGCTGCGTATGTGTCATAAAGACAGTCGTTTCCTAGAATCCATATCGTCCAATCCAAGAGCTAGTCTAGGTAAATGTCCTATTAGTATTTCATGTACCTTAATTAATTCCTTATTCATGTACAGTATATTAATGGTGTACCGTAATTGATTGATGGCATGTGTAAATTAGCCACTTCATCTCACTCCTCATCCTCCCCATACCTTCCCTCCCTTTGTCTCTCTCCTCCCTCTCCATCCCTCCCTTCCCTCCCTTTCCATTCCTAACATCCTGCTCTTTTCATCCTTCTCATCCTCCTCTCCCTCTCCATCCTTCCCATTCTTTCCTTCCCTCCCTCCTTTCTCTCTCTCTTCCTGCTTCCAAAATGCTATGCATTATGATTATAAACTTATTATGGTGTAAGTTAAAAGATTTAAGCCTTACATTGTATAATGTGTTAAGCAGTTAGTCATTTTTTCATGAAAATGAAACTGCTCAAATCAATTTTTGTATTACTAATTTAGAAGAAATTATAAAGTTTTTATATTTTACATCTATTTTTCCTACAATCATTATTAATAAAAAGTTTTTTAAATAAATTTTCTGTCGAGTTAGTATATAAAACTACTTTGACATAATGAGAAATTGTGGCAGTGGCTGATAAGGAGTGATAAAAGACTCGAGACAATAAGTAACCATTATGATTGTGACATGAATGTGAACTTTCCAAAGGAAATCAAAGACATGCTCATATATATATAGTAAGGAGGAGGGGGGGGGGTGTCAGGTGAAGGTTGTCAGGGAGTAGAGCAGTCTGGGTAGCTTTAAAAACTGAGTGAGATGGATTTCACTTGATGACCTGCCTAGCATGGACCAGTAGACCTACTGCAGTGCTGTTCAATTCTGTGTTCTTATGCAGCTGTAGCATTCAAACATGAAAGGGCCAGTAAGCCTAGTGCAGTGCCCAGCTACACGGGAATATTATACAATGAAAATTACAAGCTGTTGAATTGGATTAGTCATTTAGAAAGGATGGATGCAAACTCGGTTGATTAAGAGAGTTTATATATCCTGGGTAGGAGTTGAAAACATAGAATAATATTTTCACATAAAATCAAAATACTGTATACATAATATAATCTCATTTTTATTGTGATAAACTGGATTGTTGTGTTAACAAAATGTCATGTCAAGAAAGTTTTATTTTCCTTCCAGAGAGATCCTCTCGAGGTATTTGAAAACTCCCAGCATTCCACTTTTGTGTTCTCTTAAGTAAGCAATTTACTGTTCTTGAAGGTGATTTTATAAAGCTTTATCAAATATGGTAAATTTTTATATAATCTCCAAATGACTCAGTAATTTGGTTGCTTTTCTGTGTCAGCATCTACATCATCATACCCTTAGTTTTGTTCTAGAAATTTTTTAGTGGTACAGTATTTTTTCTTGATGCTGACTGACAACATTAATATATACTAAATTTGACATTAAATGTGTGCTGTACTGAAATTATAAGAGTGATGCACCTTCTTGAGGCATGTGGTGTGTATATGCATGTTAAGTGTCTTACTAACAACACAAGCTATGAGCTTATGTGCTCTGAGGATCAAGACATATTTCTCTTTCACTCAGGTATTTGCTTTTATTATATTTTTTATATATTTTCTAATGTCTATATTTCATACATTTCAGTAAATTGTTCCATTCATAAGCTAAAACCTTTGTGTCATGTATTTAGTGGTGTTGCTCTGTTAAGTAGTAGACTACAATGATCTTAAAACACTTTCTCTTTAAGCAAAATTCAGATTTGGAAGCAGGAGTTGAATATGACATCCTTTATAGCCATATTATTGCCTCCATTTGTAGAGGTAATTCATTTGTGTTACAGTTCCTTCCTTTATTATTTCTTTATGTAAAGTAATTGTCTTTATTTTCTTCCCATACTCCTAGCATTTGGTAGCATGGACTGTCAGCCAGTAGGAGGTAGCGTAGCTCCTCTCTCCACCCCAGACGAGGTACGGGCCATGTTTGGCAAAAATCGAGGGATCCAGGGCCATCAGAATTCTTGCTATCTCGATGCTACTCTCTTTAGCATGTTTGCTTTTACAAGGTAACACTTCCATGCAAAGCCTTAACTTTAGTTGATATTTATGATATAAAGAATGCATCTTACACAGTAGAAGGGTTATTAACATATGAACGTCTTTTGAGGTGGTGTGGACATTTAGGGTGGATGCAGAAAAATAACATGACTTGGAGAGTGTCTATAATTGTAGTGGAGGGAAGGCAGGATAGAGGTTGCCACATACATATACATACAGACCCATATACATAGATACCTACATACATATGCATACATACATACTAAGGGCAATGTGTGTGGTGTAAATATTATGCAGAGAATTCGTAGGAGGAGGTGCGAAGTTACTAAAAGTATTCAGAGGGCTGAAGAGGGGTTACTGAGGTGGTTTGGTTATTTAGAGAGGATGGAGCAAAATAGGTTGACTTGGAGGGTGTATAAATCTGTAGTGGAGGGGAGGAGGGGTAAGGGTTGTCATAGGAAAGGATGGAGAGAAGGGGTAAAAGAGGTTTTGTGTGCAAGGGGCCTGGATATGCAGCATTCATGAATCTGTTAGATAGGAGTGAACAGAGATGAATGGTTTATGGAACCTGACAGACTGTTGGTGTGTGAGGAGGGTAATGTTTTGTGAAGGGATTCAGGGAAACCAGTTAGCCGGGCTTGAGTCCTGGAGGTGGGAAGTACAATGTCTACACTTTAAAGGAAGGGTTTGGATATATCTGGGTGCCTCTGCAAAGACAGTGATATTGTGTGAATGATGGTGAAAGTATTTCTTTCTTTTTTGGGCCATCCTTCCTCTGTGGGAGATGGCTGTGTTTAAAAAACATACATACATATACATATGCATACATACGCATACATACTTGTACATCTACATATACACATACATACACATATACACAAACACACACAAACATGCATGCACAAACACACACACAAACATGCATGCACAAACATACACAAACATGCATGCACAAACACACACACAAACATGCATGCACAAACATACACAAACATGCATGCACAAACACACAGACATGCATGCACAAACACACAGACATGCATGCACAAACACAGACATGCATGTATTTGTGAACGACATGACGGAAGGAATAGACTCTGAGGTGTCCCTGTTTGCAGATGACGTGAAGTTGATGAGAAGAATTCACTCGATCGAAGACCAGGCAGAACTACAAAGGGATCTAGACAGGCTGCAGACCTGGTCCAGCAATTGGCTCCTGGAGTTCAATCCCACCAAGTGCAAAGTCATGAAGATTGGGGAAGGGCAAAGAAGGCCGCAGACGGAGTACAGTCTAGGGGGTCAGAGACTACAAACCTCACTCAAGGAAAAAGATCTTGGGGTGAGTAAACACCAGGCACATCTCCTGAAGCGCACATCAACCAAATAACTGCTGCAGCATATGGGCACCTAGCAAACCTCAGAACAGCATTCCGACATCTTAATAAGGAATCATTCAGGACCCTGTACACCGTGTATGTTAGGCCCATATTGGAGTATGCGGCACCAGTTTGGAACCCACACCTAGCCAAGCACGTGAAGAAACTAGAGAAAGTGCAAAGGTTTGCAACAAGACTAGTCCCAGAGCTAAGAGGTATGTCCTACGAGGAGAGGTTAAGGGAAATCAACCTGACAACACTGGAGGACAGGAGGGATAGGGGGGACATGATAACGACATACAAAATACTGAGAGGAATTGACAAGGTGGACAAAGACAGGATGTTCCAGAGATTGGACACAGTAACAAGGGGACACAGTTGGAAGCTGAAGACACAGATGAATCACAGGGATGTTAGGAAGTATTTCTTCAGCCACAGAGTAGTCAGTAAGTGGAATAGTTTGGGAAGCGATGTAGTGGAGGCAGGATCCATACATAGCTTTAAGCAGAGGTATGATAAAGCTCACGGCTCAGGGAGAGTGACCTAGTAGCGATCAGTGAAGAGGCGGGGCCAGGAGCTCGGACTCGACCCCCGCAACCTCAACTAGGTGAGTACAACTAGGTGAGTACAAACACACATACACAGACATACATGCACAAACACACACACAAACATGCATGCACAAACATCGGACTGACGACACTGGAGGACAGAAGGGTCAGGGGAGACATGATAACGACATACAAGATACTGCGGGGAATAGACAAGGTGGACAGAGATAGGATGTTCCAGAGAGGGGACACAGGGACAAGGGGTCACAACTGGAAGCTGAAGACTCAGACGAGTCACAGGGACGTTAGGAAGTATTTCTTCAGTCATAGAGTTGTCAGCAAGTGGAATAGCCTAGCAAGTGAAGTAGTGGAGGCAGGAACCATACATAGTTTTAAGAAGAGGTATGACAAAGCTCAGGAAGCAGAGAGAGAGAGGACCCAGTAGCGATCAGTGAAGAGGCGGGGCCAGGAGCTGAGTCTCGACCCCTGCAACCACAATTAGGTGAGTACAATTAGGTGAGTACATGCACAAACACACACACAAACATGCATGCACAAACACACAAACATGCATGCACACAAACATGGATGCACAAACACACAAACATGCATACACAAAACACACACAAACACACACACAAACACACATGCATCTCTCCATGGGTCCTTAAAGAGGGAGCAGAGATATTGTGTGAGCCATTAACAAAGATCTTCAACACATCATTTGAAACTGGGCAACTCCCTGAGGTATGGAAAATGGCAAATGTAGTCCCAATTTTTAAAAAGGGAGACAGACATGAGGCACTAAACTACAGACCTGTATCACTAACGTGTATAGTATGCAAGGTCATGGAGAAGATCATCAGGAGGAGAGTGGTGGGGCACCTGGAAAGAAACAAGTGTATAATTGACAACCAGCACGGTTTCAGGGAAGGAAAATCCAGTGTCACAAACCTACTAGAGCTTTATGACAAGGTGACAGAAGTAAGACAAGAGAGAGAGGGGTGGATCGACTGCACATTTTGGACTGCAAGAAGGCCTTCGACACAGTTCCTCACAAGAGGTTACTGCAAAAGCTAGAGGATCAGGCACACATAACAGGAAAGGCACTGCAATGGATCAGAGAATATCTGACAGGGAGGCAACAACGAGTCATGGTACGCGACGAGGTGTCAGAGTGGGCGCCTGTGACAAGCGGGGTTCCACAGGGGTCAGTCCTAGGACCTGTGCTGTTCTTGGTATATGTGAACGACATAACGGAAGGGATAGACTCAGAAGTGTCCTTGTTTGCAGATGATGCGAAGTTAATGAGAAGAATCAAATCGGATGAGGATCAGGAGACCTGGACAGGCTGCAAGCCTGGTCCAGCAACTGGCTCCTTGAATTTAACCCTGCCAAATGCAAAGTCATGAAGATTGGGGAAGGGCAAAGAAGACCGCATACACAATATAGTTTAGATGGCCAAAGACTGCAAACCTCACTCAAGGAAAAAGATCTGGGGGTGAGTATAACACCGAGCATATCTCCTGAGGCGCACATCAATCAGATAACTGCTGCAGCATACGGGCACCTGGTAAACCTACGGATAGCGTTCCGATACCTCAGTAAGGATTCGTTTAAGACTCTGTATACCATTTACGTCAGGCCCATACTGGAGTATGCAGCACCAGTTTTGAATCCACACCTAGTCAAGCACGTCAAGAAATTAGAGAAAGTGCAAAGGTTTGCAACAAGACTAGTCCCAGAGCTACGGGGATCGTCCTACGAAGAAAGGTTGAGGGAAATCGGCCTGACGACACTGGAGGACAAGAGGGTCAGGGGAGACATGATAACGACATATAAAATACTGCGCGGAATAGACAAGGTGGACAAAGACAGGATGTTCCAGAGAAGGGACACAGACACAAGAGGTCACAATTGGAAGTTGAAGACTCAGATGAATCAAAGGGATGTTAGGAAGTATTTCTTCAGTCATAGAGTAGTCAGACCATGGAATAGCCTAGAAAGTGAAGTAGTGGAGGCGGGAACCATACATAGTTTTAAGGCAAGGTATGATAGAGCTCATGGGGCAGGGAGAGAGAGGACCTAGTAGCAATCAGCGAAGAGGCGGGGCCAGGAGCTGTGACTTGACCCCTGCAACCACAAATAGGTGAGTACAAATAGGTGAGTACATGCACACACACATGCACACACACATGCACACACACACACACACACACACACACACACACACACACACACACACACACACACACACACACACACACACACACACACACACACACACACACACACACACACAGTATAATATTAATATTTAAATCTGTAGGGGAAGGAAGGCGGGGTAGGGATTGTCCTCGAAAAGGTTGGAAGGAAGGGGTAAGGGAGGTTTTGTGGGCGAGGGGCTTGGAGTGAATGGAGACGAATGGTATTTGTGACCTGACGATCTGTTGGAGTGTGAGCAGAGTAATATTTAGTGAAGGGATTCAGGGAAACTGGTTATTTTTATATAGCCGGACTTAAGTCCTGGAAATGGGAAGTACAATGCCTGCACTCTAAAAGAGGGGTTTCGGGATACTAGCAGTTTGGAGGGATATGTTGTGTATCTTTATACGTATATGCTTCTAAACTGTTGTATTCTGAGCACCTCTGCAAAAACAGTGATTAAGTGTGAGTGAGGTGAAAGTGTTGAATGACGATGAAAGTATTTTCTGTTTGGGGATTTTCTTTCTTTTTGGGTCACCCTGCCTCGGCGGGAGACGGCCGACTTGTTAAAAAAAAAAAGAGTTGTCTTTATAAGCAAATCTGTTTGTTTTTGCTTAGATCTAGCTATCTGTTGCAAGAAGTTTTATATTACATAATTATATCTTGTGTTTGTATATCATGAATTTGTTGGTCGTTTACTAATGTAATATTACTGTACTTTCTTTCCCACTCTGCTTCCTTGTCATATTGACTAATTTATCTTCACTACTGCTTCATTTTTAATGTTCTTCAGCATAGTTTCAGCTAGACTTATTTTATGTAAATAGTGTGTGTGTGTGTGTGTGTGTGTGTGTGTGTGTGTGTGTGTGTGTGTGTGTGTGTGTGTGTGTGTGTGTGTGTGTATGTGTGTGTGTGTGTGCATGTGTTGTGTGTGTGTGTGTGTGTGTGTGTGTGAGTGAGAGAGAATGTCAGTGAGAGTGAGTGTCAGTGTGAGTGAGTGTGACTTACATATATACAAACTTTATAGGTATGCATGTGTGTAACATATTCATACAGTACTATATAACTGTGCATGTGCATAACATGCACATAATGTGTAAATATGCATGTGTAAACATACACTTTTTATACTTTATACTATATGTTCCTTATCAGACATTGACACCCACCTCTGCAAAACAGTGTATTCGAAAATTTTGGGCTGTTTGGGCCCACCGAGGGCTCAGGGCCCTTTAAAGGGGAGTTCACGGGTTCAAAGGGTTTTGAAAAGAAGAAAATTGTAAAATTCCTCCCCCCGGGGCCAACCTCTTTGTGCGAGCTGATCGCAAATGAAGCTACGCACCATTTCTTGGGTCATCCTTCCCCCTGTACGGGGTCTTACCCCAGAAGAAAAAGGTTTTTTCACCCAACCCCTCTAATTCGAAATGGTTTAATATGCATTAATATAGCATACCCGACATTTGCATTTATATTTGAAAACCCCTGGGGAAAACAAAAAAAATTTTTTTTGAGGGGGGGTTTCGATTTCTAAGTTAGAAAGTTTAAAAACTGTAGGAAAATAGGGCAATTTTTTTTTCCCCCACATTACAACACGCAACGTCATGCCCAGGGAGAAAGAAAAGAGATGAACTGGGCTCAACCCCAAAAACCCCATAAGGTAGTACACCCCACAAAATAAAAAAAAAAATTTAAAGGGGGGGAGCTATGAAAAAGGCTAAAAAAATTAATCTCACGTCATGGGAAAATGAAAAAACCAGAAAAGACATGATAACAACATAAATCAAGAAAATTTATAAATGTAGAAAAGGGGTAGGGCTGTTTGAGAACAGGAAAAAAAGCCTTTTGGGGCACCCGGTTTGGGAAATTTAAGGGCACAACTTATTGGGTTTTCCCGAAGTATTTCTTCGTCTCAGGGGGATCAGCCCTGCAGCCACATATAGGTGAGTTAAAACCCCACACACACACCACACACCACCCACAAACCCCACACACACCACCCCTCACAAAAACACACACAATAAAAAATTTTCCCCCAACCAAATAACTGCTGCGAAAATGGGGCCTAGCAAACCACAGAACAGCATTCCCAATCTTAATAAGGGGAAACGTTCAAGGGGCCCCTTTTACCCGTTTTACAAAAGGCCCCCTATTGGAGTAGGGGGACCCGTTTTTGGGAACCCCCACCCAAACCAAGCACGTAAAGAAAACCCAGGAAAGGGCAAAGGTTTACAAAAAGACTAGTCCAGAGCTAAGGGTAGTCCTACGAGGAAGGTTAAGGGAAATCAACCCGAAAAACACTGGAGGCAGGAGAGATAGGGGGGGGGCATTTATAAGACATTAAAAAAATTAGAGGGAAAAAACAAGGTGAACAAGACAAAGGGTGGTTCCCAAAATGGACACAAACAAAAAAGGGGGCAATTTTGGGAAATTTAAGACAGATGAATAAAGGTTTTTTTTTTTTATTATCCCCACTGGCCCCATTCCCACCAAGGCAGGGGGGCCCAAAAAAAAAAAAACTTTTAACCATCATTTACTCCCTCCTGTCTTGCCAAAGGATGCTTTACACTACAGTTTTTAAACTTTCAACATTAACCCCCCCCCTTTAGATGCAGGGACTGTACTTTTTTCCCCTCCAGGAACCCAAATCCGGCCTGCCGGGTTTTCCCTTTTAACCCCCTTATAAAAGTTTCTTTGCTCCAAAAAATCCAAAAACCCTCCAAATATTAAAAAAACCCTTTGTCTCCATTCCCACCTTTCCCCCCAAATCCTTAAACACGCTCCCGGGATGCCTCTGGAAGTCCAAGCCCCCCGCACACAAAAAAATCCTTTTCCCCCCCCTCCCAAACCTTTTTAGGCCGACCCCTACCCTGCCTTCCTTCCACTACAGACTGATACACTCTTGAAGTCATTCTGTTTCGCTCCATTCTCTCTACATGTCCGAACCACCTCAACAACCCTTCCTCAGCCCTCTGGACAACAGTTTTGGTAATCCCGCACCTCCTCCTAGCTTCCAAACTACGAATTCTCTGCATTATATTCACACCACATATTGCCCTCAGACATGACATCTCCACTGCCTCCAGCCTTCTCCTCGCTGCAACATTCATCACCCATGCTTCACACCCATATAAGAGCGTTGGTAAAACTATACTCTCATACATTCCCCTCTTTGCCTCCAAGGACAAAGTTCTTTGTCTCCACAGACTCCTAAGTGCACCACTCACCCTTTTCCCCTCATCAATTCTATGATTCACCTCATCTTTCATAGACCCATTCGCTGACACGTCCACTCCCAAATATCTGAATACATTCACCTCCTCCATACTCTCTCCCTCCAATCTGATATCCAATCTTTCATCACCTAATCTTTTTGTTATCCTCATAACCATTACTCCTTCCTGTATTCACTTTAATTTCTTTTTTGCATACCCTACCAAATTCATCCACCAATCTCTGCAACTTCTCTTCAGAATCTCCCAAGAGCACAGTGTCATCAGCAAAGAGCAACTGTGACAACTCCTACTTTGTGTGATTCTTTATCTTTTAACTCCACGCCTCTTGCCAAGACCTTTGCATTTACTTCTCTTACAACCCCATCTATAAATATAGTATTAAACAACCACGGTGACATCACACATCCTTGTCTAAGGCCTACTTTTACTGGGAAATAATTTCCCTCTTTCCTACATACTCTAACTTGAGCCTCACTATCCTCGTAAAAACTCTTCACTGCTTTCAGTAACCTACCTCCTACACCATACACCTGCAACATCTGCCACATTGCCCCCCTATCCATCCTGTCATACGCCTTTTCCAAATCCATAAATGCCACAAAGACCTCTTTAGCCTCATCTAAATACTGTTCACTTATGTGTTTCACAGGGATGTTAGGAAGTATTTCTTCAGCCACAGAGTAGTCAGGAAGTGGAATAGTTTGGGAAGCGATGTAGTGGAGGCAGGATCCATAGGTTTAAGCAGAGGTATGATAAAGCTCACGGTTCAGGGACAGTGACCTAGTAGCGATCAGTGAAGAGGCGGGGCCATGAGCTTGGACTCGACCCCTGCAACCTCAACTAGGTGAGTACAAATAGGTGAGTACACACACACACACACACACACCTACTCACTCACTCACTCACATAAATTTAAACTACAAAATTGCCAGTTATCCAATATCTCAGGGCAGATATGACAGTATGGTGATGTTATCTCATCAGTTGACTCTACTGTTGACTGGTATTTCCTTCATCATTGCAGATCCAGAGGAGTTCCTGCACTCACTGTTGGCCCAGATTCTTCAAGCTGAGCCCCTTCTTCAGTTATCCTCTGGTCAAGAAGCCTATCATTACCAGCTTTTTGTTGATAAGGATGAGAAGCTTAACCTACCATCAGTTCAGAATCTCTTTGACCAATCTTTCCTGACCTCAGATATTAAATTGAAGCAAGTAAGTTGCGAACAGCACACTCAGCAAGATATTTATTACGTTACAGTATTTGGAGTGTAAGTGCTTACAAATGTAGTAATTTTCAATTTGTATGAGGTTGTTATGTGCATTTTGAAATATGCCGATGAATTCTTCAGAAGACTAGCAGAAGAGAATACATGTGAGTTTAGATGGATTCCTTATTCTGGCCCCATTAAAACATTTCTAGTTTGTAAAAGTTGATAGAAATTGAACAGAAATTTTGCAGCAGTGTTGTAGTCTTCTTCATTTTTTTGTTTCAACACGTCGGCCACCTTCCACCAAGGTAGGGTGACCCAAAAGAAAGAAAAACTCCAAAAGAAAGAAAAACCCTAAAGAAAGAAACAAACAAACTTTAATTATCATTCAACACTTTCACCATCACTCATAGATAATCACTGTCTTTGTAGAGGCATCCAGATACGACAGTTTACAAATTCACGAAGAGTTAGGTTTCTACAGGCATCTCAAAACAAAACACTGGATATAATATATATGTTGGTGTATAAGTTGACTTTTTAAGCTTAAAAAAATTTCTTCAGTACTAGGGGACAACTATTATGCCAAATATAAAAGTTGCTGATATGTGAAAATAAGGTGAAAATGAGGACACAGCACATTCCTGAAGGAATGGAGGCCTAAACTTGAATTAACACCTCGAACCTTTAGGGGTCAACTTATACACTGGCATTCACAGTAATACAAAACATTGTTTCAGATTTGGTTAACTTTTATGTTTCAGAGATCATGTCTCTGAAACACAATATCCCTCTAATTTAATTTATATTGATCTTCTTTCAACAAACCGGCCATATCCCACTGAGGCAGGGTGGCCCAAAAAAACAAAACAAAAAAGTTTCTCTTTCTAACTTTAGTAATGTATACAGGAGAAGAGGTTACTAGCCCCTTGCTCCCAGCATTTTAGTCACCTCTTATGACACACATGGCTCATGGAGGAAGAATTCTGTTCCACTTCCCCATGGAGAATTTATATTGATATTCATAAAAAGTAATGACCAACAGACATGTATGAGCACATTTGATTGGAGTGAGTGGAAACAAGGGTTTTTATGACTTTACATGCTGTTGGAGTGTGAACATAGTAACATTATGAAGAATATTCAGGCAAAACCAGTTAGCCAGACTTGTGTTCAGATTTTAAATAGTATTCAGTCTTTCTCTAACTATCTTGCCCCTTGTAAAACTTAACTCTGTAGTACAGTATATGATTACCATAAAATAGAGTGAATTTAGCCTCTCCTCACATAGCGATATACTTGTTTACCGATGACTCAGACTTATGACGGGCTCTCTGACCAGCATGCATACCTAAATAAAGTATATTAGAGCTGATTTCCTCTATTTTGTTTATTACAGTATACAATACATTACTGTATAAACGTTTAAAAATATACCAGAAATGTTATAAATGGTGCAGAAGTGACATTAAAACAATATCAGAGATGATTGACACAAACCCACTACAGGCATAGTATGTGCCTCACTTAGCGACGAATTTGTTTACTGACGTGCTCTTAGGAATGGAACTCTATCATTGAGGAGAGGCTGTATACATTTTCTTTAAAGTGAAGAGAAAGGAATAATGAGGTTAGTGGCTTCACTTTAAAGAGCAGTGAGAATGTTATGCTTTGGAAGGTCATCTAAAAAGTGATATCAGCACCTGTCTGGCAAGACAGCAATTAAGTGAATGATGGTAAATGTGTTGTCTCCTTATTTTGGTTACTGTATATATTATTTAACAATTACGTATTCCTTTACCATAGAAGAAATTTAAATTAGTATACTTTTTGCAGGTTCCGTCCTGTTTGATTATCCAGATGCCCCGTTTTGGAAAAGACTACAAAATGTACCCAAGGATTTTGCCGTCCATGGTTCTTGATGTTACAGATGTCATTGAGAACTGTAAGTATTGTATATTGATTGTACATATTTCTTAACTACAGTAGTGAATGTACATTACCTTGAAAGGCCAAAGGCTCCTTGTCCCTGGCAGCTTATACATAACATAATTCTTTTCATCAGTCTATTTTAATTTTTTTTTTTATTAACACTTTGGCCATCTCCCACTGAGGTAGGGTGCGGCCCAAAACGAAAAATCTCTCACCTTTCATTTACTCCATCCACTAGTCTAGCCAGGGGCATGCATCACCCTACAATTATCAAAACTGCAACACTCACACCCTCTTCAGTGTGCCAAATCACTGTACTTCTCCAGCTAAGGACTCAAGACGGCCTGCGTTTCCCGTATTCTTTCATAAAACTTTACCTTGCTCACTCTCCAATAATACGCACATCAAATCCTAAAAACCATTTGTCTCCATTTGCAACCTATCTAACACACTCCACACATGCTTGCTGGAAGTCCAAGCCTCGCAACTAAAAATCCTTTACCCCTTCCTCCAACCTTTCCTCTAGGCCAACCTCTACCCTGCCATTCCTCCACTACAGAGTTATGCCTCCTCGAAAGTCATTCTATTTGTGTATGTTCAAAACCACTCAACCACCACTCCTCAGCCCTCTGGATAATAGTTATTGGTTATCCCACACCTCCGTCTAACTAAATTTCAAATATGAATTTCTCTGCTTTATTTCCACGCCTCTTGTCTCAGGCACGACATCTCACAATGCCATCCAGCCTTCTCCTTGTTTGCCATTCTCCCCCCATGCTTCACACCCATATAAGAGTGTAGATAAAACTATTCATCTCATACCATTTTTCCTCTGTGCTTCCCATGGCAAATTCCTTTGTCTCACAGACCTCTTGGTTCACTAACACTCACGTTTTTTCCTCGTCATTTCTATGATTCCCTCATTTTTCATAGACCCAATCTGCTGAAATGGTCCACTCCTAAATATCTGATTTATATTCACCTCCTCCATACTCTTCCTCCAACTGATATCCAATCATTCAGCTTACCTAATGTTATTGTATCCTCATCACCTTACTCTCCTATATTCACTTTCAATTTCTTCTTTTTACATACCCTACCAAACTCATCCACCAACCTCTGCAACTTATCTTCAGAATCTCCCAAAATCACAGTGTCATCAGCAAAGAGCAAACTGTGACAACTCCCCACTTGTTAGATTCTTTTTCTTTCAACCCCAAACTTCTTGCCAACACCCGAGCATTCACTTCTCTTACAACCTCATCTATAAATATATTGAACAACAATGGTGGCATCACACATCCTTGTCTAAGGCCTACTTTTACTGGGAAATAATCTCCCTCTATTAAATATTTGGTTATTAATCTTTAACTTTGCAATTCTTTATGTAATTTGTTTCATATTTTGTTAAACCAACATGAAAGTGGTGAGGAGACATTAACCCTTTATTGGAAAGAAAATAAATACCAGTATTATCCCTTTACCACAGGAATGTGAGGGGACTTTGTACCACTGAATGATACATTATTATTATTATTATATTATTTTTTTTTTTTTTTTTTCAACAAGTCGGCCGTCTCCCACTGAGGAAGGGTGACCCAAAAAAGAAAAGAAATCCCCATAAAGGATAATACTTCCATATCATTCAACCCTTTCACCACACTCGCACAAGCTATCATGTTTTTGCAGTGAGGTGTCAGATCAACAGGTTTTAGAAGCATATACGTTTAAAGATACACAACATATCCCTCCAAACTGCCAATATTCCCATACCCCTCCTTAAAAGTGCGGCCATTGTAATTACCATTGCCAGGACTCAATGTCGAATATTGAAAATAACCGGTTTCCCTGTAATCCTGCACTAAAAAGTTTACCTGCTCACAACCTCAATCAGATCGTCAGGTACCAAGTACCATTCGTCTCCATTCACTCCTATCTACACACAGCTTCACGCACGCTTGCTGGAAGTCCAAGCCCTCGCCACAAAACCTCCTTACCACATCTCTGAACCCTTTCGAGGACGACCCTACCCGCATTCCTTCCCCTAATAGATTTTATGATTTCCATGTCATTCTCTTTGATCCATTCTCTCAAAAGGACCAAACCACCTCAACAACCCTCTTCTGCCCTCTGGGACTAATACTTTTATTAACTCCACACACCTTCTCCTACATTCTCCACACTCCGAATTTTCGGCATAATTTTTACAACCACACATTGCCCTTCAACAGGTCATCTCCACTGCCTCCACCGTCTCCTCGTGCTGCCATTTACACCCAAGTTCACCACCCCATATAAAGTGTGTTGCGTACTTCTATACTTTCATACATTCCTTCTTTGCCGCATAGATAACGTTTTTTTGACTCCACATTTAACTCAACGCACCCCTCGCCTTTTTTCCCTCCTCAATTCTATGATTAACCTCATCCTTCATAAATCATCCGACGCACGTCAAACTCCAAGTTTCTGAAAACTTTCACTTCTTCCATATCCTCTCCCCCCATTTGATATTCCAATTTTTCTTTATCTAAATCATTTGACACCCTCATCACTTACTCTTTTCTATGTTCACTTAACTTTCTACCTTTACACACATTCCCAAACTATCCCACTAACCTTTGCAATTTTTCTTCTGATCTCCCCCATAAGGGCACAGTATCTTCTGCTAACAAAAAGTAAACTTGTGTCAATTCCCCATTTGGAATTTGATTTCCCCACATAATTTTATCCCCGCCCCTCTCCCAAACACCCCTGCATTTACTTTCCTTTACAACCCATCTATAAATATAATTAAACAACCATGGTGACCATTACACATCCCAGTCTAAGACCTACTTTTACGGGAAGTGTCTCCCTCTCTTCTACACACCTAACCTGAAGCCTCACTATCCTCATAAAAATCTTTACAGATTTAATAACTTACACCTATTCCATTATTACTTAGCAACATTGCCACATTGCTCCTCTATCCACTCTATCCTATGCCTTTTCTAAATCCATAAATGGCAATAATAACTTCCCTTATCTTTATTAAATACTGTTCACATATATGCTATTAATGTAATCACCGGATCTACACATCCCCACCCACTCTAAAAACCTCCTTGCTCATCCGCAATCCTACATTCTGGGTTCTTACCTCTAATTCTTTCAATTATAACCCTACCTGTACACTTTTCCAGGTATAATCAGTAAGCTTATTCCTCTATTTTTATTTTTTACCCAGTCTCTTTTGTCCCCTTTCCCTTGATATAAAGGGAATTATACATGCTCTCTGCCACTCCCTAGGTACATTCCCATGCTTTATACATTTATTTAAACAAAAGTACCTACCACTCCAATACACTATATCCCCCCCTGCACTTTTACTTTCTGTCATGATAACCATCAGTTCCTGCTGCTTTACCCCCTTTAATTTTTACGTAATGCCTCACGTACCTACCCCAACTCTACTTTCTGCTCTTTTCATCCTAAAAGATGGTATACCTCCCTGGACCAGTGCATGCAAAAATTACTGCCTCTGTTTCTGCCTTAACATTTAAAAAAGTTCCTCAATATATTCTCGCCATTTCCCAATACCTCCATCTCCCCTTCTACTAACTCCTACTCTGTTTTTAACTGACTAAATCCCTATTTTCCCTAGGCTTTCTTAACTTGTTTAACTCACTCCAATTTTTTTTCTTATTTTCATTATAATTTCTGACAGTGCCTCTCCACTCTATCATCTGCTCATCCTTTTTGCAATCTCTCTCCACTCTCTTTACCTTTCTTTTACTTCTCATATATCTGCTCTTCTATAAACACTTCTGCTTTGTAAAAACCTCTCATAAGCTACCTTTTTCTCTTTTATCACCCCCTTACTTTCATCATTTCCACCAATCACTATCTTTATTATTTTTATTATTCTTATTCATTTTATTAATTATTTTTTTTTTTTTTTTTTTTTATTATCACACTGGCCGATTCCCACCAAGCAGGGATGGCCCCGAAAAAGAAAAACTTTCACATCATTCACTCCATCACTGTCTTGCCAGAAGGCGTGCTTTTACACTTCAGTTTTTACAGTGGACCCCCGCTCTTAACGATCACCTCCAAATTGCGACCAATTATATAAGTGTGATTTATGTAAGTGCGTTGGTACTGTGTATGTTTCGGGGGTTCTAAAATGGACTAATCTACTTACATCTTCCTTATGGGAAAAAAATTTCGGTCAGTACTGGCACCTGAAACATACTACTGAGAAGAAAAAAGTTCGTTACGGGGGGGTCCACTGTATTATTTTTATTATTAATTATTTATTATATTATTATTATTATTATATATCTATTCTTATTATTATTATTTTATTTTTATTATTATTATTCATTTTCATGGTAGGGAAGTAGTATACCTCAGGTTCATACAGAAGCCTGGAGAATGGGCAGGCATCCAGGCATGATCCAAGGAGGGAAAGGCCAGGTTCAGTTCCTGGGAGCAGGGGTAGACACTCACTGGCATCAAGGAACCTCACTTGCAGGGAGAATAGCAGATGCATTTCTTTTGCATTGTATTGTTCAGCAAGACTGCTTTGAGCTATTAATGAGATTTTATTTATAAACTTATCTGTATACTGAAGGAGAAAAATATCTGAAATGAATAATTCCGGTTCTTTTTAGTTAGAACATATTGTGATTAAATGCAAGTTATGAGATTGTGTAGTAACTTGGTGTATTTACATATTTTCCTTCTTGAGAGCACCCACGACAATGCAATATTTGTGGCAAGTTGCTGAGTCCACGAGTGCAGTGAGTGCTTGGGAAGTGTGGGTAGGTTTGAGAGCTTTGCCTTCTGTGCCAATTGTCATGGACTAGGTTAGTATTCTTTCCTTGTACCATAATGGGGATTCTCAGTAACATACATACTCCTGCTCTCCACATAATAAAGGTTAGCAGAAAGATATTTTAAATAATGTTATTTCTTTATTTGCAGGCTCATAGCCACAAGAAAAGAGGCAGTCACACATCTACACGCAAATTAAAAGTTCCTCCAGATTTTCAGGTAGGGTGTGTTACAGCATTTTTGGTAAGTTTACCATGCATCCTAATTGTATTATATTACATATTTTCTTTCCATATCCCCTAAGTTAGGATATTGGCAGTTTGGAGGGATATGTTGTGTATCTTTATACGTATATGCTTCTAAACTGTTGTGTTCTGGGCACCTCTGCAAAAACAGTGATTATGTATTATTGAGGTGAAAGTATTGAATGATGATGAAAGTATTTTCTCTTTGGGGATTTTCTTTCTTTTTGGGTCACCCTGCCTCGGTGGGAGACGGCCAACTTGTTAAAAAAAAAAAAAATCCTAAAGTTTCTTAACCCCTTATATAAACTTATAAATTCTGTTTTCCTCATTTTAAATTAGGTCAGGCATGTTGCATATGAATTTAATTACAAACACATCCTTCTTTGTGCACGATTGTTTATTTGTATTTTTTCATTGATAATATCTAGATGCTGGCTGATCACTGTGGCTCTATTCCCCGAGTGTACATGGAGCTCTTTGCTGTAGTATGCATTGAGACTTCGCATTACGTCGCATTCACGAGGTGTGGTTCTGGTGCTGATGCTACTTGGTGCTTTTTTGACTCAATGGCAGACAGAAAAGGTGGGTTACTGTTTTACCAGCTTTCTTGTTAGAGTATTTCTGCTTATTAAGAAACTATTATTGCTAAAAAAGTAACGTTTATATATATATATATATATACAGTAGACCATCGATTAACATGAGTTCCTTTAACACTTTTTCTCCATTACACTATTGAAAAATTGCGGCATATTTTTGACTAGCACTCTGTAAAATTTGACTAGCACAGTGTCACTTTTGGGGAAAAAATTTGGAACACCACAAGCTGTACCATAGGATTTTTCCCCTGCATCTAGTGGTCTTGCAGGCAATCTGCCTGTGGGTCAGTCCATTGTGTTAATGGGGGAAGATTAGCTTCCTCCCTTGCCTTCCCCATCCCACCTCTCATTGGTTCATACATACATGTCCCATATAGTTCTCAGATCTGTGTGTGAGATTAGATTAGCTAGATTCCTGCATACCAGTCAATACATGCAGTGTTTTCATTTCAATAAGTCACTTCGTCTGACTTTTTTCGGGTTCTTCTTTCAACAAACCGGCTGTATCCCACCAAGGCAGGGTGGCCCAAAAAGAAAACACAAAAGTTTCTCTTTTTAGCTTTAGTAATGTATACAGGAGAAGGGGTTACTAGCCCCTTGCTCCTGGCATGTTAGTCCCTTTACAACACACAATGGCTTATGGAGGGAAGTAAGAATTCTGTTCCAATTGCTGATGGGAGATAAGAGAGATTTAAACACGAACAAGGACTAATAAGAAAATAGAAGAAAGTCCAGAGGGGTATGTATATATATATATATGCTTCTACATGAAGTGTAGTGTGTCCCTAAGCGGTAAGTGTAGAAGTAGCCAAGTCGACCTAATCTTGCATGTTTTTTTTTTTTTTTAGTATGCACACTGGCGATTCCCCACCAATGGCAGGGTTTTTTAGCCCGAAAAAGAAAATCTTCACCATCATTCACTCCATCTCGTCTTGCCGAAGGTGTGCTTTACACTACAGTGTTTCTTTAAATGCAACATTAACCTCCCCTCCTTCAGAAGTGCAGGCATGTAATTCCCCATCTAGGACTTCTAGTCGGCCTGCCAGTTTCCCTGTAACCTTTCATAAATGTTCTTTGCTCACGTTCCAACAGCAGTCACCGTATTAAATAACCATTTGTCGCCATTTCCACTCCTTATCAACCACTTTCACGCATGCCTGCTGGAGTCCAAGCCCCTCGTCACTACAACTCCTTTACCACTCCCTCCAAACTTTCTAGGCGACCCCTACCCCGCTTCCTTTCCCACTACAGACTGATACAACTCTTGAAAGTCATTCTGTTTCACTCCATTCTCTCTACGTGTCCGATAGCATCAACAACCCTTCCTCAGCCCTCTGCCACAACAGTTTTGCGTAAATCCGCACCTCCTCCTTAACTTCCCAAAACGACGAATTCTATGCATTATATTCACACCACACATTGACCTCAGACATGACATCTCCACTGCCTCAGCCCTTCCCTTGCGGCAACATTCATCAACCATGTTCACACCCTTATAAGAGCGTTGGGTAAAACTATACTATCTACATTCCACCTCTTTGCCTCCAAGGACAAAGTCTTTGTCTTCCACAGACTCCTAAGTGCACCACTCACACTGTTCCCCTCATCAATCTATGATTCTCCTCATCTTTCATAGATCCATCCGCTGACACGTACACTCCCAAAATATCTGAATTACATTCACCTCTCATACTATTCTCCTCCAATCTGAATACCAATCTTTCATCACAATCTTTTTGTTATCCTCATATCCTTACTATTTCCGGTATTCACTTTTAATTTTCTACTTTTGCATTACCCTACCAAATTCATCACAAATCTATGCAAACTTCTCTTCTGAATCTCCAAGAGCTACAGTGTCATCTGGAAAAAGGAGCAACTGTTGACAATCCCAACTTTGTGTGATTCTTTATCTTTTAACTCCACGCCTTTGCCAAGACCCTCGCATTTTACTTCTATTACAACCCCATCATTAATATATTAAACGACCACGGTGACATCACACAGCCTGGTCTAAGGCCTACTTTGACTGGGAATTAATTTCCCTCTTTCTACATACTACTAATTGAGACTCACTATCCTCGTTTAAAGAAAAAGCTCCTCTTCACGGCGTTTCAGTAAACTACCTCCTACACCATACACCTGAAAATCATTGCCTCATTGGCCCTTATCCACCTGTAATAGGCTTTTCCAAATCCATAAATGCCACGATGACCTCTTTAGCCTTTATCTAATTAAGGGTCATTTATAGTTTCTCTGTAAAACACCGGGTCCACACTCCCCCCTTACCTATCTAAAAGCCTCCTTGATATTGCTATCTATTCTCGTCTTACTCTTATCCTTTCAATAATAACTCTCCATACACTTTGCCAAAGTATTACTCAACAGACTCTTTTTTTTTTTTTTTTTTTACAAGTTGGTCGTCTCCCACCGAGGCAGGGTGACCCAAAAAAAAAGAATGAAAAACCCCAAAAGGGAAAATACTTTCATCATCATTCAACACTTTCACCACACTAACACATTATCAATGGCTTTTTGCCAGAGGTGCTCAGAATATAAACAGTTTAGAGCATATTACGGTATAGAGATAACACAACATATCCCTCCAATCTGCCAATATCCAAACCCCTCCTTTTAAACGTACAGGGGGGAAGGAATTTGTACTTCCCATTTTCCAGCTTGCGGACTCAAGTCCGACTATATGGAAAATAACCGGTTTCCTGAATCCTTCACTAAAATATTACCCCTCGCTCACACTCCAACAGATGTAGTGGTCCAAGTATATATTAGTATTCCATCACTCCTATCTAAACACGCTTCATGCACGCTTGCTGGAAGTCAAGCCCTCACCCACAAACTCCGTTACCCCTCTTTCCAACCCTTTTCGAGGACGACCCCTACCCTCTTTCCCTTCCCTATAGATTTATATGCTTGCCATGTCATTCTACTTTGAATCATTCTCTCTTACAATGACCAAACCACCTCAACAAACCCTCTTCTGCCCTCTGGTGACTAATGCTTTTATTAAACTCCACACCTTCTCAATTTCCACAACTCCGAATTTTCTGGCATAACTATTTTCACCAACACATTTGGCCCTTAGACAGGCGCATTTCTCCACTGCCTCAACCGTCTCCTCCGCTGTGCATTTTCAACCCAAAGCTTCACATCCATATAAAGCTTTGGTACTACCTATACTTTCATACATTCCCTTCTTGCCTCCATAGATAACATCTTTTTGACTCCCACATATACTTCAACGCACCACTCACCTTTTTTCCTCATCAATTTCTATGATTTACCTCATCCGTCATCAAATCCATCGACCGACACGTCAACCCAAGTATCTGAAAACATTCATTCTTCCATTACTCTCCCCCCAAATTTGGATATCAGATTAACCTTATAATTTTTGCACTCTCTTTTGTCCACTTTGCCTTTATAAAAAGCGGAACTATGCATTGCTCTCTGCCAATCCCTAGGTACCTTACCATCTTCAATACATTTATTTACTAATTCGCTCAACCCCCCAAAAACTATATCCCACATGCATTTTAACATTTTGTCTTTATCCCTTCAATCCGGCTGCTTACCCCCTTTCATTTTACCTTCGGCCTCACGAACTTCACCCACACTCACAACTGGCTCTTCTCACTCTACAAGATGTTATTCTCCTTGCCCTATACACGAAAATCACAGCTTCCCTAGCTTCATCAACATTTAACAATTCTCAAAATATTCCCTCCATCTTCCCCATACTCTACACTCTCCATTTAAATAACTCCCTCCTCTCCTATTTTTTTAACAGACAAATTCCATTTGTTCTCTAGGCTTCCTTACTTGTTAATCTCACTCCAAAACTTTTTCTTATTTTCAACAAAATTGATAGTAACATCTACCCCCACTCTCTCATTTGCTTCTTTTTACAGTGCTTCACCACCTCTCGTAACCTCTTCTTTTACTCCTTATACTCTTCCCTCCTTGCTCACTTCTACTTTGTTAAAACTTCTCATATGCTACTTTTTCGCCCTTACTACTCTCTTTACCATCATCCATTCCACCAATCGCTACTCTTCCTCCCGCACCCACTTTCCTGTAACACAAACCTTCTGCCTGAACACTCTAACATACATTTTTAAAAACCTTTACCCCCATACCTCCTTCTACCCATTGCTATGCTCTCATTAGCCATCTTATTCTCAGTAGCTGTTTTTATCTTACCTAACTGCCTCTTCTTTTGTTATAAACCTTCACCTCTCTCTTCCTGATGCTTCTATTCTCCTTGTATCCATACTACCTTTTACTTCAGTGTAGCTACAACTGAACGTGATTGATATATCTGTGGCACTCTATAAACATGTTCTTCCTGAAGTACCAACAGTATTTTATCTACCAATTACATCAATCCAACATAACTACTGTCATTTTCGCCCTCCATCATACTCTAGTATTTTTTTATCCTCTTTTTCTTAACATTGTATTACTATAATAAAACCCTTTCTATACAAAGTTCAATCAAAGGCTCCATTATTATTTTACACCTGGCACCCATAACTTACCTTACCACACCCTCTTTATAAAGTTTCTCCTACTTTAGCATTCAGGTCCACTACCACAATTTCTCTCTCACTTGGTTCAAAGCCTCCTATAACAGTCACTTTAATTCCCGCGAAATCTTCTCTCTCTCCTCTTCATTCCTCTTTCTCCAGGTGCATACAGCTTTTATGACCCCACTTTTCGCATCCAACCTTTAACTTTATCAACATATTCTTGATTTAAAAATTCTCTTTTCTCTGCCATAACTGATCCTTCAAACATTACTGCTTTACCCCTTCCTTTGCTCTAAACTCTCTCCAGATACTCCAGATTTAATTCCCATTTATATCCTCCCACCGAAAACTCCCTACCCCCTTTCAGCTTTGTTTGCTTAGGGCCAGACATCCAACTTTTTTCATTCATAACATCGCAATCATCTGTTTCTTGTCATCCGATACATCACGCACATTCAAGCATACCAGTTTTATAAAGTTTTTCTTCTTTCTCTTTTTTAGTAAATGTCTACAGGAGAAGGGGATTACTAGCCCATTGCAAAATAAAGCGTAGATCTACATTCAGAGCACTAGCAGTGCAAACATAGATCTACGTTTGGACAGTGATCTTCCTGTAAAAAGTTTTTATAGACAAATTAAGAGGACAAACGTGAACTGCACCTGTCCATGAGAGACCTTCCCAATGTTTATATATCCTCTGTTTATCTTCCTTTGCATAATAAAAGTTAAAAGACGAAAGGAACCTGGATGTTATATGTATATATAGTACCTACTTCACATATATTTGTGCATCAGTTTAGTTGGTACACTCGCATATTGTAAGGCAGTAGGACGTGTGTGAGGGTTTGCTGTTGTGTTGGTGTTAAGGGCTAACAGCCTTTGAGCATGCCACCCACCTACCCTTCCTTATAGTATTTTTATTGTTAAACATGCAAGGGAAATGATAATTTTATTATATTCATTTATTGTAATAAATTTATTAATATTAAATAGTTTATACCTAGGTAGTAAGTTGGTAGACAGCAACCACTCAAGGAGGTACTACCGTCCTGCCAAGTGAGTGTGAAACAGAAACCTGTAATAGTTTTATATGATAGTAGGATTGCTGATGTCTTTTTTCTGTCTCATAAACATGCAAGATTTCAGGTACATCTTGCTACTTCTACTTACACTTAGGTCACACTACACATACATGTACAAGCATATATATACACACCCCTCTGGGTTTTCTTCTATTTTAATACTAGTTCTTATTCTTGTTTATTTCCTCTTATCTCCATGGGGAAGTGAAACAGAATTCTTTCCCCGTAAGCCATGCGTGTTGTAAGAGGCGACTAGCATGCCCGGAGCATGAGGCTAGTAACCCCTTCTCCTGTATACATTACTTAAGTTTAAAAGAGAAACTTCTGTTTTTCTTTTTGGGGCCACCCTACCTTGGTGGGATATGACCAGTTTGTTGAAAGAAGAATAGGTATATCTTTCTATTTCTACTTACACTTAGGTCACATTACACATGCATGTACACCTACCATCCGACTTACGACCTGCTCGACATACGACGACTCGACTTACGACCGTGTTTTTTATGCCAAATTTCTGGGAAATAAACAAGTGTTTGTGTTGTACACAGTGTTTATCCTAAACCTTACAGTATAAAATACAGTACTAACAGCATAAAAAGTAAAGTAAAACATGAAATACCAAAATAAAACAATAAAATAAAGTCATTACAAAAAATTTACGTTGATGTCCAGTAGTAAAGTTCGACTTATGTCCATTTCGACTTAAGACCGATTTCTCAGAACCGAACTCGGTCGTAAGTCGGATGGTAGGTGTACATGCATATATATTTACACACTCATCTGGGTTCTCTTCTATTGTCTTAATATGTAGTTCCTGTTCTTTATTTCCTGTTATCTCCATGGGGAAATGGAAAAAAATTCTTCCTCCATAAGCCATGTTGCCTCTTAGGCAACTAAAATGCCAGGAGTGAGGGGCTAGTAACCCCATTCCTGAGTCAGTCAAAAAAGATAAACTTTTCTTTTTCATTTTAGGTCACCTTTTTCAGTGGGATACCTCTGGTTCGTTGAAAAAAATAATAAAGGAATTAATTTTTATACTGATAATCCATTCAGTGTATTATTTCTCCAGATATATTCCCAACCCTTCTCAAAATATGAGACTGCCTAATGCATGGTGTGGTTTTTCATATGACTACTGATCAAGTTTCCATTTGGGTTCTTTTCATAAATGATATTAAAAGGTTTTAGGGGATAATGAAGAATATATTTAGTTCTCTGATAGAATTTTTTAATTGAGAGACTTCATAATTTTTATATTAGAGCTTATCATTTAAAAGACATTATTTTGTTTAGCCTTGGCTATCTCCTGTGTTCCTCGAAGAGAAGCTTTTAGGTCTACAGCTTTTTTATGGACGCTTCTAGTGACAGGCGAAAGGTAAAATGGGAAGTCAATCCTGGCTAGGGTGCAACAGGTATTGGTGGGCTGTCTGTTAGTAGAGACATTTTTCCTGTGCAGAACTGCCATCTCTGACTTCTGACATCTGTGTCTGTGGTAAGTCAGGTTAAGCTTGAGTTAAGTAGCCAGTAACAGACACGTTAAGTGTAATTGGGAATCCTCTCTTATGCTAATAATGCAGGTGATCACTTAATGTTGAGAATGAAAAATTTATTAATTGTCTGATAATTGATTATCTTTTTGTCACCCAGGTGAGCAGCATGGGTACAACATCCCAACTGTTGTAGAGTGTGGAGACTTGATGCAGTGGGTCGGGGATGAGGGCAGCCAGATGCTTCACGCCGTCACAGACAACAAGGCTCTTCCCGACCTTCCTCGACGTCTTCTCTGTGATGCATACATGTGCTTTTACCAGAGTCCCAAAGTTATGATGTATAGGTAGACATAAATTATGTACTGTACTGTCCCCTTTGTGAGTTGATTTGTGGATTATTCTACTCCGAGTCCAGCTAAAGCTATTGTCTCCTTTGCCTTCTCCGTATTATACTGGTCTACAAATTTGGAACAGTTTTGTGCTTCAAAGGAAAAAGGTATAGCATTGCAATACAGTGGACCCCCGGTTAACGATATTTTTTCACTCCATAAGTATGTTCAGGTGCCAGTACTGACCGAATTTATTCCCATAAGGAATATTGTGAAGTAGATTAGTCCATTTCAGACCCCCAAACATCCACGTACAAACGCACTTACATAAATACACTTACATAATTGGTCGCATTCGGAGGTAATCGTTATGCGGGGGTCCACTGTATATGGTTTTTGGGACACTGAAAACTAATATAACCATAATAAAAATTTGTTGGCTAAAGGAAATTTCATGTATTTTTTTAACAATTATGTATTATGGCTATAGGAAACTGCTTACAGTATATGCTTTAAACATTTATGCATTGTGGATCTGACTCAACAGCTTTTTCCCTCTACAGTTTATTTACCCTCCTTCCTTCCCAGGTCAAAGACTACATCAACTAGTCTGAGTCAGTAGCTTCCTATATAAGAGCCACTTTGCAATTTAAGATAATATCCATATTCAGTGACCCAAAATTTGTAGAGAATGAAAATTTTTATTTCTGAGGTATTTTTATTGTAGACCAGTGTTATTTATGTACTTATTTAGTACTCTATTTATTTATTACTTAAATATAAATGTAAAATTTTTCATATTAATTTTACTCTCATTCAAAAAATAAATTTATGTACATACTGTACATTTGCTGAATTGCAACACTTTTTCTTTATGCTAAACATTTTAGAATTTCTCACAAAAAACATTTGAAGAATGTTAAACGAGATGAAAAAAAATACTGTTAAGAGTATAAATCATACAAAGAGAAGGACAAGAGTAGTATTAAAAATAATCACAAAACCTGGAAAGTGTCAGAAAACCAGCTAGAAACTTTGTCCATATGGAAACCATTTGTGTATGTCTTCTGCTCTTATTATGTCAGAAAGCCATCCAGAGAATCAGTCCAGCAGCTAGCAATATTATGAAGGTAAACTGCCTTCACAGTGTTAGATCAGACACTGTCTAGTATTACACCATATACTGTTCTAATATTCAAATATTGTACTATTGATTTTTGAAAACTGTGCCAAATAGTAATAAACATGGAATTTAAATTTTATTTTGAACAAGTACTTGTTACATCAGAGAGAGCACATATTGGAGAATATTTTGGAAATAAAACGTTTTGGTTAAGAAATTAGCGCTGTATGACTCTTATGGGTTTAGCGCTTGATTATAATAATAATAATTTAGTTAAGAAACATCTCAACATAATGTGTATAAGGTATGCATATGTATATTGCATAGGGTATGTATGATTATGGTAGTGTATATATTTTATGTTATAATATGTTGATGATATAGTTTAGGCTCAAGAATTTATGCTGTGAATATTACTGATGTTTTCACTAACTATATTATGGAACCTACAGTGATTCATCATTACACTGCCATTTTTGACAAGGATCTTTTCTAAAGAGGCTGTTTTGGTTTGCACATACAATGTGGTCACTGCTACTACAGTATCATGCTCTTTATTATTAAATAATCCAAATGCAACTTTAATCTTCTTGGCAAGTCTCTGTATACAGGGTGATTAGTTGAGGCTTAGATTATACTTATTATACTCACAAAAAGATGGGCCACACCTGTATAGGTCATGAAGCTTAGCAAAGCAGAGAGGAGCTAACAGGAAAGAACTACTGTTTTAATGGCATGTTGCCGTTAGTGCAACAGGTCAGTTTCAGTTATAAATTTATAAGAGCATTCTCGGTAATAACTCACGAGTCATGCCTGTTATTAGACTACAGTGGAACCCCGGTTTTCGTCCTTGATCTATTTCAGAAGGTCGGTCGAAATCCGAAATGGACGAAAACCAAAGTAATATTTCCCATAAGAAATAATGTAAATCCAATTAATTCGTTCCAGACACCCAAAAATATTAAGAAAAAATACATTTATAGAGAATAACTATAGTTTTACATACAGAAAACAATGAGAAATAAATATAAATGACTAATTATAATGGATAAATGAACATTTAAATCACTATTACTTACCCTTATTGAAGACTCTTGTTGGCCACTCACATCCAACCCCATGGACTCACCCACAGCCACAATAGATTCCACAACAGGCATAGGGTTGTCAAGTTTACACTAACTTATATTAAGTTAGTAATAGAACTAGGCATTAAAAAATACAATAAGTAAAATACATAAACTGTGCATTCATTACTTAAAATATTTGTAGTCTTAATGTAGATGTGATTAGTAGGTAGTGTAGGTAGCCGGTAGATGTAGGTATGTAATCTGCCTGGCTACATACATACACCTACTTACATTGCTACAAGATATTTAATGCTGCCCAGAGCCATATTATTACCATTGACATACCGTGTTCACTGAGTTTAATTGTTTCTAGCAACTACCTTGAAATGCCGTCATAAACAGAGGGTGAAGTAATGAATACTTTGTGCCGAGAATTGTAAACAAAAGTGTTATGTGTTAAGGGAGGCGACTGGGCCAATGCAGATTCATACACGTTTTCTCTGGTGCTGGAGTGGAGAAAACGTAATGTTTTCCCTACGCCTGGCTACCACCCCTCCATAGCATGTAAAGAGTGCATATTTATATGCTATGTAATGTGTTTCAAATATAATTTTGAAGAAATTATCATGGATGGATTAATGAAAATGTCTATGACTGTGAAACAGAAACCTGTAACTGTTTTGCATGATGGTAGGATTGCTGGTGTCTTTTTCTGTCTCATAAACACGCTAGATAACAGGGATATCTTGCTACTCCAACTTACACTTTGGTCACACTTCACAGACATGCACATGCATATATATATACATACATCTAGGTTTTTCTCCTTTTTCTACATAGCTCTTGTTCTTCTTTATTTCTTCTATTGTCCATGGGGAAGTGGAAAAGAATCTTTCCTCCGTAAGCCATGCGTGTCGTATGAGGTGACTAAAATGCCGGGAGCAATGGGCTAGTAACCCCTTCTCCTGTAGACATTTACTAAAAAAGAGAAGAAGAAAAACTTTATAAAACTGGGATGCTTAAATGTGCGTGGATGTAGTGCGGATGACAAGAAACAGATGATTGCTGATGTTATGAATGAAAAGAAGTTGGATGTCCTGGCCCTAAGCGAAACAAAGCTGAAAGGGGTAGGGGAGTTTCGGTGGGGGGAAATAAATGGGATTAAATCTGGAGTATCTGAGAGAGTTAGAGCAAAGGAAGGGGTAGCAGTAATGTTGAATGATCAGTTATGGAAGGAGAAAAGAGAATATGAATGTGTAAATGCAAGAATTATGTGGATTAAAGTAAAGGTTGGATGCGAGAAGTGGGTCATAATAAGCGTGTATGCACCTGGAGAAGAGAGGAATGCAGAGGAGAGAGAGAGATTTTGGGAGATGTTAAGTGAATGTATAGGAGCCTTTGAACCAAGTGAGAGAGTAATTGTGGTAGGGGACCTGAATGCTAAAGTAGGAGAAACTTTTAGAGAGGGTGTGGTAGGTAAGTTTGGGGTGCCAGGTGTAAATGATAATGGGAGTCCTTTGATTGAACTTTGTATAGAAAGGGGTTTAGTTATAGGTAATACATATTTTAAGAAAAAGAGGATAAATAAGTATACAAGATATGATGTAGGGTGAAATGACAGTAGTTTGTTGGATTATGTATTGGTAGATAAAAGACTGTTGAGTAGACTTCAGGATGTACATGTTTATAGAGGGGCCACAGATATATCAGATCACTTTCTAGTTGTAGCTACACTGAGAGTAAAAGGTAGATGGGATACAAGGAGAATAGAAGCATCAGGGAAGAGAGAGGTGAAGGTTTATAAACTAAAAGAAGAGGCAGTTAGGGAAAGATATAAACAACTATTGGAGGATAGATGGGCTAACGAGAGCATAGGCAATGGGGTCGAAGAGGTATGGGGTAGGTTTAAAAATGTAGTGTTAGAGTGTTCAGCAGAAGTTTGTGGTTACAGGAAAGTGGGTGCGGGAGGGAAGAGGAGCGATTGGTGGAATGATGATGTAAAGAGAGTAGTAAGGGAGAAAAAGTTAGCATATGAGAAGTTTTTACAAAGTAGAAGTGATGCAAGGAGGGAAGAGTATATGGAGAAAAAGAGAGAGGTTAAGAGAGTGGTGAAGCAATGTAAAAAGAGAGCAAATGAGAGAGTGGGTGAGATGTTATCAACAAATTTTGTTGAAAATAAGAAAAAGTTTTGGAGTGAGATTAACAAGTTAAGGAAGCCTAGAGAACAAATGGATTTGTCAGTTAAAAATAGGAGAGGAGAGTTATTAAATGGAGAGTTAGAGGTATTGGGAAGATGGAGGGAATATTTTGAGGAATTGTTAAATGTTGATGAAGATAGGGAAGCTGTGATTTCGTGTATAGGGCAAGGAGGAATAACATCTTATAGGAGTGAGGAAGAGCCAGTTGTGAGTGTGGGGGAAGTTCGTGAGGCAGTAGGTAAAATGAAAGGGGGTAAGGCAGCCGGATTGATGGGATAAAGATAGAAATGTTAAATGCAGGTGGGGATATAGTTTTGGAGTGGTTGGTGCAATTATTTAATAAATATATGGAAGAGGGTAAGGTACCTAGGGATTGGCAGAGAGCATGCATAGTTCCTTTGTATAAAGGCAAAGGGGACAAAAGAGAGTGCAAAAATTATAGGGGGATAAGTCTGTTGAGTATACCTGGTAAAGTGTATGGTAGAGTTATTATTGAAAGAATTAAAAGTAAGAATGAGAATAGGATAGCAGATGAACAAGGAGGCTTTAGGAAAGGTAGGGGGTGTGTGGACCAGGTGTTTACAGTGAAACATATAAGTGAACAGTATTTAGATAAGGCTAAAGAGGTCTTTGTGGCATTTATGGATTTGGAAAAGGCATATGACAGGGTGGATAGGGGGGCAATGTGGCAGATGTTGCAGGTGTATGGTGTAGGAGGTAGGTTACTGAAAGCAGTGAAGAGTTTTTACGAGGATAGTGAGGCTCAAGTTAGAGTATGTAGGAAAGAGGGAAATTATTTCCCAGTAAAAGTAGGCCTTAGACAGGGATGTGTGATGTCACCGTGGTTGTTTAATATATTTATAGATGGGGTTGTAAGAGAAGTAAATGCGAGGGTCTTGACAAGAGGCGTGGAGTTAAAAGATAAGAATCACACATAAAGTGGGAGTTGTCACAGTTGCTCTTTGCTGATGACACTGTGCTCTTGGGAGATTTGAAGAGAAGTTGCAGAGATTGGTGGATGAATTTAGTAGGTGTGCAAAAGAAGAAAATTAAAAGTGAATACAGGAAAGAGTAAGGTTATGAGGATAACAAAAATATTAGGTGATGAAAGATTGGATATCAGATTGGAGGGAGAGAGTATGGGGGAGGTGCATGTATTCAGATATTTGAGAGTGGACGTGTCAGCGGATGGGTCTATGAAGGATGAGGTGAATCATAGAATTGATGAGGGGAAAAGGGTGAGTGGTGCACTTAGGAGTCTGTGGAGACAAAGAACTTTGTCCTTGGAGGTAAAGAGGGGAATGTATGAGAGTATAGTTTTACCAACACTCTTATATGGGTGTGAAGCATGGGTGATGAATGTTGCAGCGAGGAGAAGGCTGGAGGCAGTGGAGATGTCATGTCTGAGGGCAATGTGTGGTGTGAACATAATGCAGAGAATTCGTAGTTTGGAAGTTAGGAGGAGGTGCGGGATTACCAAAACTGTTGTCCAGAGGGCTGAGGAAGGGTTGTTGAGGTGGTTCGGACCTGGGAGTGATCATGTCGGAGGATCTCACCTTCAAGGACCATAACATTGTATCAATCGCATCTGCTAGAAAAATGACAGGATGGATAATGAGAACCTTCAAAACTAGGGAGGCCAAGCCCATGATGACACTCTTCAGGTCACTTGTTCTATCTAGGCTGGAATATTGCTGCACACTAACAGCACCTTTCAAGGTAGGTGAAATTGCCGACCTAGAAAATGTACAGAGAACTTTCACGGCGCGCATAACGGAGATAAAACACCTCAATTACTGGGAGCGCTTGAGGTTCCTAAACCTGTATTCCCTGGAACGCAGGAGGGAGAGATACATGATTATATGCACCTGGAAAATCCTAGAGGGACTAGTACCGAACTTGCACACGAAAATCACTCACTACGAAAGCAAAAGACTTGGCAGACGATGCACCATCCCCCCAATGAAAAGCAGGGGTGTCACTAGCACGTTAAGAGACCATACAATAAGTGTCAGGGGCCCGAGACTGTTCAACTGCCTCCCAGCACACATAAGGGGGATTACCAACAGACCCCTGTCAGTCTTCAAGCTGGCACTGGACAAGCACCTAAAGTCAGTTCCTGATCAGCCCGGCTGTGGCTCGTACGTTGGTTTGCGTGCAGCCAGCAGCAACAGTCTGGTTGATCAGGCTCTGATCCACCAGGAGGCCTGGTCACAGACCAGGCCGGGGGGGCGTTGACCCCCGGAACTCTCTCCAGGTAAACTCCAGGTATGTAGAGAGAATGGAGCGAAACAGAATGACTTCAAGAGTGTATCAGTCTGTAGTGGAAGGAAGGCGGGGTAGGGGTCAGCCTAGGAAAGGTTGGAGGGAGGGGGTAAAGGAGGTTTTGTGTGCGAGGGGCTTGGACTTCCAGCAGGCATGCGTGAGCGTGTTTGATAGGAGTGAATGGAGACAAATGGTTTTTAATACTTGACATGCTGTTGGAGTGTGAGCAAAGTAACATTTATGAAGGGGTTCAGGGAAACCAGCAGGCCGGACTTGAGTCCTGGAGATGGGAAGTACAGTGCCTGCACTCTGAAGGAGGGGTGTTAATGTTGCAGTTTAAAAACTGTAGTGTAAAGCACCCTTCTGGCAAGACAGTGATGGAGTGAATGATGGTGAAAGTTTTCTTTTTCGGGCCACCCTGCCTTGGTGGGAATCGGCCAGTGTGATAATAAAAAAAATAATAATTGTCTATATTAACATAAAATAAGACATTTAATGTGCTCAACAGTGGTCATTATTATGTACTGTATTAGTAATATTACTATGGCACTAAGACTAGAGGGACACTCTTAGTGAATGAGTAATAAAGGCAGACTGAGTCACGAACGTATAAGTAAGTTTATTCAGGTATACATAAATACAGTTATATAGATTATCATAGCAGCATATGTGCAGAGAACCTAGGATAACCCAAAAAAAGTCAGACAGAGTGGCTTATTTCCATGAGTGGCCGCTTCCCGCAGCAGGCGGACGTGTCTGGTACGGATGATTTCTGAGCGGGTGTATGAAACCTGGGGTAAAATTTCGCCCAAAAAGTGGTCGAAATTCAAATTGTATGATATCTGCACCAGACAAAATCCGGGGTTCCACTGTACATTGTTAAACTTAAAAGTCCTGTTCAGGGCAAAACATTTTCTAATAAAAAGCTCACTCAGCTGCATGTTTCACCACTCATCATTTATTGACTGATTGTCTCGTTCATCAGAGTTCATACCAGTTTCATTTCAGATACCATCTTTGATGCTTTCACGTGCTTCTGTGTCTGCCCGTTTCTCTGACGGTTCCACCTCTCCTGCCAACTCACTCCATGATCTCTTAACTGAAATTAATTTGCTATATCAACTATGCCCGTGTCTTATCAGTTGATGTTGTTCTCTCACCACCTCCCCTCTCCAGCATTTCTTTTGCCTCTGCTGTGCAGCATTCAGTGAACCTTATGGGTTTAGCACTCCATGAATATAACAATTGAGTGCTCTTTATGCGATATAGAGTGTCCCATACAAGTTCACCATTTTCTACTGTAGTAGGAAACAGTCGATGTGGTAAAAAAAAATAAATAATTTTGGCATAACTATGTATATATGATAATAATCTCTTTCTCATAGCATTATAAAAGAATGCTTTTTGGTTTTGGTCACTTATTTATTTCTGTATTTTATGTATGTAAGTGATGTTAAGCATAGTGTAAGATATTCTCTTATTCTTTAATTTTTTTTTTTTTAAAGATTACTTTTGTCAGACATCAAAAGATGGCAGATAATGTTAATGTATATACAGTACTTTAATGTCTGAAGACGTTTTAGGTTTATCTAGTCATATACTGAAAATGGTCGCATTTCTTCTGAAGTGCTTCGCTATATGAAGTTTCTTGACATTGATCTCTTTCTTTTGTTTGTCCTCATTTTGGCTCCTGAAACATTTGTAATTGAAAGCATCATAGTTTGCTTTACCATTATATAAACAGTAAAAAAAAAAAAAATAGACTTTTAACCCTTGGCAACATTCACTTTATTTTTCCAGAACTGGATTAGAAATATTTTTTTGTCCACCTGTTTAGTGCTAATAACTATATAATGCACACCATACCTATCCTGCGGATGGTAGTCTAAAAGATTAGAGACACATAATTGGTCCAGGGACTGTGTTTTAATGTTTTGTTAGCTAAGCAAGTTACATAATATGAACTACAGGCTGTATTTACAAAATTTTATTAATTATCAATAGTAATGGGTTAGTTACACAGTTAATGAATTGACTTGCATGAACATTATAATGAAGTATATTCAGTGTTTTGGAGATTTGCTGGTCTAAGGGATTGGCAGAGGTGCAAGTTATATGGCAGTTACAAGTTATATGGGTTTATTTGCAGTAGGTCAAGTTTGGTATTTTTCCAGAGTTTTGGGTAATTCAGTATGTCATTCTGAATGAAATATTTAGACATTTCTTTAACATTTATGAATGAGGCATTTCTAATTTCTTTGATTTTTTCACAAATACATAATGATGCACACTGAGAATAAGCAACTGGTAAGTAAGAAAACTTAATTATTGGCATGTTTTAGTATCTAGTGACATAATTAGTCCCCCCTAACTTATTTTTCCTTTTACATTTTATGAAGATATTATTTATTGAGATGAATAATAAAATGTTATTCATCTCAATAAATTGTTATTCATCTGGCCTAGCACATCTACATTGTTACGCTGGACAAGTATCCTCAGCGAGTGAAAAATGCAGAAAGAAAAAGATGGTAGACACTGGAATTATTATTATATTACAAAACAAGTACTGTATCAAACTTGTGCGAGTCTTACAGCATTCTTATGTCTAACCAATTTTATTACATTTTACCTCCATATGATTTGACTAAGAAGACTGTGTATATTCTAGTACCTTAATGCCAGAAATCAGGTTTTCTTGTTGAGGAAAGTGAATCAATCTCAGCTAGGTGTTGGTGTTTAATTGTGACACATTAAATTATACATATGTATTTGCACTGTAAATATGTACTGTATTTAATGTGCTTCTTTTTTGTTACCCTATGTAAGAAAATCTTTATTAGACATGTTCATCATGTGTATACGTGTATTCTTCTCTTTCCAGATGTCTTCCTAGAACATCTTAACAAATTATTTAACATTTGTTGATGTAATGAGGTACAGGTATTATTTATGGGCAACATACTATCCTGGTGGACATTAATGGAATAAATTTTTACCAATGTTGGGTTCTTTATATCCAGACAACAAATTTTGCTGAAAATAAGAAAAAGTTTCGGAGTGAGATTAATAAGTTGAGAAAGCCTAGGAATGAATGGATTTGACAGTTAGAAATAGGAGAGAAGAGTTATTAGGTGGAGAGTTGGAGGTATTGGGAAGATGGAGGGAATATTATGAGGAACTTCAAAATGTTGGTAAAGATAGGGAAGCTGTGATTTTGTGCAATGGGCAGGGAGGTATATCTTGTAGGAGTGAGGAAGAGCCAGCTGTGAGTGTGGGGGAAGGTGCATGAGGCAGTGGATGGACTGAAAGTGAATAAAGCAGCTGGGATTGATGGGATCAAGACAAAAATGTTAAAAGCAGGTGGGGATATAGTTTTGGAATGCTTGGTGCTTTTATTTAATGTATGAAAAAAAAACGGTACCTAGGGATTGGCAGAGAACATTACCTGGAGTTTACCTGGAGAGGGTTTCGGGGGTCAACACCCCCGCGGCCCAGTCTGAGACCAGGCCTCATGGTGGATCAGGGTTTGATCAACCAGGCTGTTACTACTGGCCGCACGCAAGCTGACATACGAACCACAGCCCGGTTGGTCAGGTACTGACTTTAGGTGCCTGTCCAGTGCCTTCTTGAAGACAGCCGGGGGTCTATTGGTAATCCCC